AGGGGGACCAACAGTAAGGCCAATATTGTTCCATATCTTAATTAATGACCAAGATGACAAGATAGAGTGAACTCTCAGCAAATCCATAGATGATACCAAATTGGGAGGAGCAGTTCACATGCTGGAGAGCAAGAGCTGCTATTTAGAGGGACCGACACGGGCTGGAAAATAGGCTTATTTATTTTATTACAAAACCCTTATGAAGTATAACAATGGTAAATGTAAAGTCTTGAAACTGGAACCAAATTAGCTCATGTAATAATACAGTTTGGGGCTGACTGGATAGAAAATAGCTTTGCTGAAAAAGACCCATGGGTCCTGATGGACAATAAATTGAATATAAATCAGCAGTGTGCCATTGCAGCAAAGATGGCCAATCACATCCTGAGCTGTGTTAGCAAGAGTATAGACAGCAGGTTAAGGGAAGTGATTCTCCCCTTCTACTCAGCAGCTGTGAAACTGTATGAGAAGTACTGGGTTCAGTTTTAGGCTGCCCAGGATAAAAAGATATTGGCATACTGGAACAAGTCTTGCATGGTTACCAAGTTTGTCGGTGGCAGGAACACATGGCACACAAGGAAAGGCTGAGAGAACTGGCCTGTTCAACCTGGAGAAAACAAAGAGAGGGATCTTATTGCTATGACTTCCTTATAGTAGAGAAAATGGAACCATTCTCTTTCAGAGGTACACAGTGGAGGAATGTGAGGTAATGGATACCAATTGGAACATAAGAAATTTGATATAAGGCAAAAAAAATCACCATGATGGTGGTCAAATACTGGAACAGGTGCCCAGGCAAATTGTAGAATCTCAGTCTTTCAATATATTCAAAACTCAGCTGGAGCAACCTGTTCTAACTGGTTCCAGTGATTGATTCTGCTTCCTAGACCTATTTTGTTTAGTAATATAAATGAAGGTGAAAGAATAGTTAAACAAACAGTGCTACCACCCTGCAGTTCTCACATGGCCATACCTCAGCTGTGTTATAGGGGATAGCTTTACACTGGTCAGAGATGGCACTTCTTATCAAGAACCAGAAGCACATCATCATAGAGTGAGGTGCAGAGCAAGTCACTCTGTAGAAAGGCTATTTGGTTCACTGTGACCGAAGGAATAGACACCCCTGTCTGAAACACTGGTCCAGACCTTCAGGCAGTGTCCGTTAGCAGAGTTCTACTGAATTCAGGAAAACAATACAGTTTGGTAGTACATGAGGAAGTACCATTTCATTCACTTTTTTTTTTAATTACAAGGAAAATAAGTGTGTGATTGGGAAGGGACTTGAAGGTCTATGCCTACATTCCACACACCACATTTGTCTAGCACAGGCTTCCAGATGTGTCAGACTTTTCTAAAGAAGATATTTCTGCATGAATGCGTGTGTGTGCGTGTGTGTACAAACATACAAGGATCCAGTTATATTTTTCAAAAAATGTGGGTGAAAGTTAGTTTAGCTGGAGAATGTTTCCATTTAGAAATTTTAGAGACAAATCTAGACCAAAAAAACAGTATCTGGATCTGAACTCCTGCATGCAAATGTCTCCATTTAGCAAGTGAATTTAACAGTCTTACCAAGGAAGAATCATCACCATTAAGACTGTCTAGATGCATAGCCAGGAATCATCTGGTAAAATACTTTTCCTTTGGAAGATATCAGTTTGCCAACACAGTTTCCAACAAAATTTTGTTTTAGGTCAGTCTTCTGATTCTAGATTTTTTTGGAAAAAAAGATTTATTTAAAAAAAACCCTATCTTGACAGTTTCAAATTGAAATACTTCATATTTTTCCCAATCATAAACACTTTTCTAAAGTCAAACATTTTTTGAAAGGCTAACAAACATTGAAATGAAATGGTTCTGCTGGAAGACCTTGCAAACATGGGTGCAAGCTCATTAATATTTTCATAAGTCAGACTTTACCCTGATATGGAGTTTGGGCATGGAGAAATTTTGCAGATGCTGAAACTGCAAAGAAAGCAGTTCCCACACAAATTTTAAAAGTTTTTTAAAGTTCCATTTGACTTCCTGGCAGTAGTTAAAAGGCACAAGTTTCCTAGCGCAGATAAAATTGTCTCACAATAAAGTTGCATCTAGCACTGTAATCTATTTCTGCAATGGAGGTAAATAAGCTATATTAATACCACACATGTTTATAGCAGTGTAACTGCATGTACATGTACACCAAGGCAGGTAGCAATGTAGCTATCCCAGAAAAAAAGAAAAAAGTCAAATGATTCATTGAAAATTTAAATAAATAGATAAATACTGTCTATGTTTGTACTGGGTCTTAGACTTTTTTTTTTCGCTTCACCACGTAAATTTGATTATGTTGATGGGATCTCACCAATTGCAAGGTAACAATAATAGAAGAAACTCTGTTTGGCTTGTCACAGGCTGTTGCATGTTTATCATGAAGAGTACATTGAACACATGTCACTGTCCTCAGCAGATAGCAACTTAAATTGGATCTTCTCAGAAAAAAGGAAGACTGGTTGCAACAGTCCGGATGAGAGGCATTCTATCTTTTATAGAATAACATATATAGAAGAAAAAATTGATAACATTATAGAACAGAAATTCCTGAATTCTTAAGTGGCTTTCTTCTCTTTGTCTGTTCTCACTGTCCTTACCCTCTCCAAAATCACAACCACTGATTAAGTTGACAGGAAAAAAATAGATACAGATACATAAATGGCCCTTGTGACATTCTAGGATTCTTAATATTCAGGGGAATGAATTTTGGGATTCCTTCTTTGAATATAGTATTGAATATATGGTCTAGGCAACTTTTACTGTGCTACACTTATAAAAAAAATTTCACTGTGGTTTATATCACTTCTTTCTTTCAGAGGTCTTTCCTGCCTCCTTAATATTACTAGCCTCTAACCCCAGGATAAGTACTGGGTGATTTATTTAGAATAAGTGGATCAGAACCACTGAACTGACTGATTACCATGAATATCAACCATGAAAAGGCATAGTAGTTTACATAGGTAGCATCTCTAGAGAAGCAGTGCAAGACAGTTAAGGGAAAGCCTGTTTAGCTCAGTTTGCAAAGTTTTTGTTATTTTAGATTTCAAAGCTACCTCCGTCTACCTCATTAGGTGATTGCCATAGTCCATGCAGCCCACATCATCCCACACCAGTTTTATGCCTGTTTGACTTCAATTGCTCATTATTTACTCATGTTAGGGAATAGCCAGCTCTAAGTGCTTTGAGACAGATAAAGATATGTATCTGCTATCTATAGGTGCTATCAAAACTTAAAGGAAATAATTAGGTGCTGATTTCAAAACAGATGTTATGATGAACAGAAATTGACAGGTTTTTAGGATAGAAAAGTGATTTTTCTTTTATTTATTAGACAGATTTTTTTTAGCCAGAAGAAAAAAAAAAGGAGAAAGTGAATATTAAGATGATACCAAAAGCTGAAGAGTCTTACAATTAGTTAATGGATTCTGTTTTGCATTATATTACTATCCAGAGACAAATGAAAAACCTTTTCTACTTAATCCTTCTGATCTAAGGCCTATAGATGGTTCTGTGATACAGATTAAGGAAAAATCTCTACCCCCAAGATTTACAGTGTAAATCAACTGCAAAGAAAAGGAATGAGAGAAAGGAAATATTTTGCAATAGAAAACTAAATCAAATAGATTCTATCAAGTGACTTTTCTAATTTCCCAGGTGGTTGTTTTATTAAACAGTGTTAAGAAGTTATTAGCATGATTCAATTATAGTGGGCCCATGTCTGCATCAAAAAAGTGATTGGGGAAACACATGGAAGAAAAATAAATTCACCAGAGGCTATTTCCCTATGTCAAGAAGTCTCTGAACCTGTATAGCCATTCTTACGTTCCTAGGTGCTCTGAACAACAAGAGTGCTAGAAACAAGACATAACCAATGCAAGTTCACCTGGGACTGCTCAAAGATCTGAATTTAAATTAGAAATAAAAACAAACAAGTAAAACAAAATCCTTTCAAATTTTGGAAAGTTATTCAGAGGAACCATATAATCCCATACTACAGCTCTCTCTGGCTTGAAAAGACAAGCTTTTGTAAACAGAAAGTAGGGCAAAATTGGAGGACCAGGTTTGAAGTGGGAGTGCAGAGTGTGTACTTTTTATCATCCTGCTGTCCTCCTCAGTATCTGTAACCTACTTAGTCCTCTCCCAAACATATTGACCAGCACTGGGTTTTGGAGGGAAAAAAATTTGGATACGGAATAACTGTCTAATGCATGCTCAGGCCTGAAGATAGATAAGAAGTGAAGAAAAGTGAAGAGGACGTATTCACCTCTAAAGACACATTTAAATACCTGAAATACTTCTGCATGATAACTCCAGGTTTAATCAAGATAAGCATTTAGCAGAATTTATCTATCACTTGTAAACTTAAAGGGCATAAAATTGATTCTACTAGGAATTCGTTTAGACTAGTATCCATCTCTGGCAATCATCCATGGCATATGACCTTAAAAAGTTTAAAAACAGATCACAGGGGAAATGCCCTTTTCCCCAGCTGTATCCTCCTGGAAGAAGAAAATCTGCTGTTTCAGGATCATAACGCAGAGGTTTCATCTGTGTCATTGTTATAAATAGTTTTTGATGGACCTTTCTTCCAGGGTTTTGTGCAATTATTTTTAGAACTAATTTAGACTTCTGACATTCAAAACACTTTGTGGCAGAGATTTCCACAATTTTAATGTGTTTAGATTGAAAAGAAAGCATCAAAGAAGTGTCCAAAATACCTCGTAACCTTCTTTGTGGAATCTTTATTGCTGAGAGTGATTTACTTCTGACATACTCTAGTAAAAATCCTAAGACAACCCACTGAAAGTCAATAGAATTGTGTTGCTGCGAAGCATGTTTGTTATTGTAATATATGAGTTAAAGCATTCAATGAGAAGAGAGGCTTTTTTCAGTGCTTTCCCAAGTCTAATTTGATTTGTAAGACAAAGACCAAATTTCTATAAATAATGCCCATATATATTTTCTAGCACCTGATGCTCCCTATACCCACTGGAAGCAAACTGTCTTCTATTTAGAGGACTATCTAACTGTGAGACGAGGGGAAGAAATCTATGGGACTATATCCATGAAACCAAATGCAAAAAATGTGGTGAGTCAGCATCACTGCTTCTAATTCTCAACTCTATTGATGACAAACTATAATCAACAATAAATAATATGAGTATAAATAACACAATGAGCATGACAAAGTCTCTTATTGCTGTCCTTAGGAACCGGATCATTTTCCTTCAGGCTAATGGTATCATTGCCCTTTTCTTTTGGGGGAAAAGAAAGAATGCACTTCAAATTTGCCTGGTTAACACTAGGCACCTGAGAGCAGATTTAGGTGCTTAAATGAATGTGTTCTTAACAGTTAACACAAGACTGACCACCTTTCAGCTCTCTTGGTTTCAAAATGATTTGCTAGTGCTTTGTTTTTCTGAAACACCAGCCCTTTTAAAAGCCTGTACAGAGACAGCTTCATTCTGTAGGGCTATGTAGTGTCTCTCTCCAAACAACATGCGAATATAAGATGAAGAACAACTACCTGAGGGCTTGTCTACAATTGGAAATTTACCAGAACATCTATTCTGGAACAAGCCTTAGTGTGAATGATCTATGCTCTAGATTGAGTGTCTCACTGGGGCAAACCCTTAAAGATTTATTCAAAGTTACTTACATTAGCATAGCATTTCAGGAGCTTCCTAGTTGTAGCTGCAACAGGCCACTAAAGCAAGCTTGAGAAGAATATGCAAAGATGCCATAAGCGTAGATTATATGAGGAATGCTGTTATACTTCCTACAACCTGCTTCTTCAGTGTTAGCAACATTTAAAAACAAAAGAAATTTTAAAACATAATAGTCATCTCCTGAGTCTGCAGGTTTTTTCAGCCTGAGCAATGATAACGAAACTACATGTTGCATTTAAATCTTACATGTTACATTTAAATCTTATTACAGCGTGACCTGGATTTCACAGTAGACTTGGATTTTAAAGGACAGCTATGTGAAACATCAGTATCTAATGACTACAAAATGCGCTAGCAAGAAACCTTTCAGAGAAATGGAAAGGAGAATGGCATCAAGTCTTGAACTGCTGAACTTCAAGCTAGGAATAACTGTTTGCAAGACTATCATATTAGATCCTAGAATGTTTGCTCTGATGGAAAGTGGTAACTTGATCTGTCTTGCAGGTAGTACAGAGGGCTGGGATCCCATTGTGAATGTACAGTATACAGAACCGTAGCTTTTGTCAAACATATAGGCAAAATAAGCAACAGTCTCGAGTATTTTGGTTAGCTTTAGGATGGCAGAAGATACGTACAAAAATTGTATTACTTCCTGTGAATTTCTGGTTCTTCCAAGCTTTGCATGTTACAGGCGATTAGGGCAGTTTCCTTACTATACAAGACCACTACAACACATTGCTATAGTAGTATTATTGATCTTATTTTTAATATAAATATACTATATATATATATGTATATATGTGTGTATATATATATATAGTACATGAGGAAAATTCTGTTGCTTCATAATAGGAATTAGTTTTGTGATTATTTACTTCTCATTATACAGTGATGGAAAAATAATTATGTTACTTCTGGCACTACTCTAGGCACTGGCATGGTCCAGCTATCATTCACTGTCTAGAATTATAGCTATGCAAAGTATAAGCAAGAGCTGCAAGTTAATAGAAAGATCAACAGATATTTTTTAGAATATCATTTGGAAAATATGGATCATTAATTTTAAAATTCACCTTCATAAGTGGATGTCTGCCGGAGCTTTAAAGAACATTAGCTTTTTATCCTTGAAAATATTTTGTGTTGAGTTTTTATAGCTGGATTTTGCATTGCATGAGATCCTCTGAAATCAAGACACTTGGTATTTAAATGTGATGAATGCAAAGTCTCTAAAATGGTGAGTCATTTATGTTTCTTGGCCATGCCATATTTCAGTTCTCCTTTCCACAAGATTCTTAATACAAAATCATTTTCAAAAACCAATAGGGAATTAGTGTTTACTTTTGGTGATGTTTTAGATAAGTTAATTTAAATTGCAAATACTAGTTTCAAAAGTGCAGTGGTTCCTCTTTGTTGGAACAAAGTAACGTCTTTAAAAAATGTCTGTGGCTTCTGATACTACTAAAATGTCTGTAGTGTCCCTGTTCCTTTATACTAATTGTTTTTCTTTCAATATATTCTGCTTAGGGTTTAAATATTAATTGTTTATAATCTTTGATATGTATGTGTCAATTTTTTTCACTATATAAATGTTGACCATTTAATCATATGTAATTCATCAAAAACTGCGTCACTGGCCTTATCCATACATCTTCCAGTCTCCATGGCATTAGTCACCAAATCACGTTCTCATTATGTATTGAATGAGACTGACTAGCTTTTTGCCTAAAAAGTCTTTGTAATTACCTGCAAATGAAGCAGACTAGAAGATGTGAGGAGCTAAAAATGCTGCTCATCAATAAGCTTTCTGTAGGTTCTTGTTTTGTCAGTATAAGATTGTCAGCTTTTCACTTTCTAGAAAACTATTAATATTGCTGTTCCCTTCACTAGAAAACTATATGGTACCTCCATTTTCTTATGGTCTAAAGATTATGGTCTAGGGATCCTAGTACCTGGTATCTATCTATGGAGAATGAAATTAAACTGTAATTCAGCAGCAAAGTATATTGCTTACAGTGTAGTTCATCACAGTCCTTTTAAAGCACTTTTCTTTAATTTGTTTGGGATGGGGATAAACATCTTTCCTAACAAAATGACTAGGATCTAATTCCTCATATGTTATTGTCAGTTTCAAGGGATCACTCATAACTAGATCAGCTGTCTTCTGAGCAGTAGGTTGGACTAGAAAACCTCCAGAAGTCCCTTTCCACCAACATTTCTGTGATTCTAGGACTTCAAGGTAAGGAATTCTACTGGATTTTTTTCTCTGTTCCTTTCATTTAGACAAAGATACCCTCAACCTTAAAACAATGCTTGTTTTTATCTTCTCTTTTGCCAGTAATCACTGAGGTGACTAAAACTGAAAGAGGAAAGATTCTTGTTTTGCTTGTTTAGCTTATACCTTGACAGCACTTTGACACCCACTTCTCTTTCCAACTGCACGAATCTTTAGTATAGCAGTAGAGAAGGGGAGGGAGAGGGGGAAATAGCTTGTTTAAAAAACAAAAAAGGACAAACCACTGAAAAAAAAAGGAGAATTTACAAGGGTCTGCCTGCCTGCACTGTGAATGTGCCATTTTTGTATGACAGAAACCGTCAGACAAGAAACAACAAAGAAAACCTGACCAGAACAGCTCGTTTAGCAGTTCCAAAGAGGTATTTTAAGCAGTGAAGCTGTGTACTTCCCTTTCTGCATCAGCGAAATATATGTCCCTGTTCTGCAGTTGTCACTATGGCTTGTTGCTGCAAGTGCCCATTCACTCCAGTGCTGCAAGATTATGTCTCTGCTAATATCGTTAATGGCGTAGTTCTGAGATGATCACCAGACTTCAATCACATTCTGCTCTGGGAAAGTGGCTTATGCTATTCTTCACATCCCATCATAAGCATATCACAGTTTTACAGCTCTATCCATCCCATAAGGAACAGAGTGCCTACTGCAGTGCTGAGTATCTTCAAATCACAGTTATCAAAAAGAAAATTGAGGTTTCCAAGGCCTTTGTAGGTGGTACCTACCACAAAGACTGTGAAAGTATCAATGAGTTCAGCATACATAGGATTTGTTAGGTCAGCATTAGTGGAACTGTCATAGAAAAACTCTCTTTGTCATAATTTAGTTTATAGAGAGCCTTTATTCTCACACACATACACTGGGAGCTACAGGGAAAGCATGTCCAATGCACAGATCAGGCAGAGGCTTCCCTGATTAGCATAAGTGAGTGACTTATATACATTTCTCTGGTTGATATAGTTACTAGCTAACACTCTCTTGATTGGCTATACATCCAAGGTAGGGAACAAAGGAAAAGGAATTTTCCCAGGAACTCTGCAACTTGTAGCTAGTTCTATCCAGTTTGAATTCCTGGGATGCCAGGCAGGAATTGGTGAGTTCATACAAAGTTTAGAGATTCCTCCTTTGTCTTACCTTAAGATAGCGGTTAGTAAAAATGGAGCTACTTTTCCTACTATTGATTGTCTTTTACTCCTACAGTATTTATTTTGTCATTAAAGAGTTATAGTATACATGAAACATATCAGTTTTCTTACATGTTAAAGGAAACCAAAGAAATAACCAAAACCACTGAACAGCTCCTCAGCACTACTTTAGATATGATAGAGAGGAAGAATAAATGATGCATAGCAGGCATTAGATCCTCCACTTAGTGCATGGTGGTAGCTGCTCGGGGACTAGGGGAAAAAAGCAATAATAAAATCCCTAAATGATAGAATGAAAATACATACACAGGGAGCTTGAGGGCTAGGTGCAACCAGCTAATAGGCTTCCCTCAACAATCCAGCAAGCCTTGGTAACTCCCACAGGGGCTGAGTCTAACCTTTTCAAGGCCTCAATAAAAAAGTCTATCATGGACTCCGTGGCTGAACCCAGGTCACTAATCTTCAAAGCTTTCCATCAAAATACTGATGAAATGACTGTTCATCTCTGAAACAGCCATAAATTAAAAGCTTTCATTTTTTCCTCCATGGATAGAATGAAATAAGAACCAAGAGCTGAGGACAGAGCATGATAAAGAAATTGGACCACAATGTTTATGCAAAAGATTATCTCAGATAAGTAACAAATATAGGAATGGAGAAAAGAGGAAGCAGATGACTTCTGCATTGACTCTAATCTTAAGGCAGATGCTTCCACAATAAAATATGAGGACTATTAAAACTCTTCTCAGTGACTGTTCTGTCACTTCAAACACAAAGGAGCATCCAAAGGGAGCTAGATACTGATAATTTCTGTAAAAGGCAGAGCTGCACACTTGCAGTGTTTATAGCAGTAGGGAGATAGTTGCTGTGATGTCCTGATTCCTTATTAAGACGGTCACCCAGTGTTTCCATGGGTACATGGAATCTCTACAGAACTGTATACTGTGACTGCATTCTCATATGCACTTCTCATTCCTAGCCCCAACTAGCCCTTGCCAGGTGTTCTTAGAGAGGAGTTTCATAGCTGTTTTTCATAGTGCACATTCTGAGACCTTCCTGTAGGCAGAACTAGGCATTTAGAGCCCTTTTATACTTTTATCCTTTTAAAAGGGTTTGAAATGGGCCAGAATATACCCAAGATTTTAGTATATTTTTACTACAGAGCTAGTTTGAAGAACCTTCTCAGAGCTAATTTCTTACAGGATTTGTCTTGAGAAACTAATTCTTCCCTCAGATGGTAAATTTGGAAAGGATACATGGTATTCACTGTATATAATGAAGAATTAGTCTCCACTTTAAGAAGACAACAAATCAGTCGCTCTCTTCTTTACCTGTAAAATATCTCACCTTAATCCTAAAGTTGCAACTGCACTAATTTGTCAGTCTTTTAGTTTAATGCACAACATGCATCAAACCCTGACATTTAACGCTTACTACTCATATTAAAAATACATATGTATGCTTTCATTTCAACCTCCTTCTGACAACATTGTAGGTGGCTCAATTTATATGGATTAAACTCCATGTGACAGAAAGGACAATCTGTCTGTGTTGTATAATCAGTAACTTCAAGTACTGTGCATATTGGCAGATGGTAGCATGTTCTTTGTGATCACAAAGTACTGCAAGCCAAAATTTAAAAAATATATAAATAAAGCTTAACAAAAAAGATTTACTTAACAAAAGCACGTTCCAGTGTCACTCATATAATAGACAAAACAACAGTGTCATAATTACTTTCAAATTACAAGCCCCATAAATGTTATAGAAATGGAGAATTAGCTTTAGAAAACTCTCTTCATTGGTGAGACTGCCTTCCTTTTACAGAGGCATGACAGGAATAGCACGAGAGCGGTATGGTGGTAGAGCAGGAAGGCACCAGAGTGATCTAGCTGATCAGAGCCTGCTGCTTCCCTTGCTCAGGTGGAGTCAAGGACACAGAACTCCTTGCTCAGCTGCTTTCTCAGCTTGCTTTAGCAGCAGGCAGTGACTCATGCTTTATATAGAAAGGGCGGGGGAATAAAGTAAAGGGTAGGGAACCAGCAAGACAGAAGAGCTGGGGATCTTTTGCCATAGAAACTCATAAAATCATTTGTGATAGGAGAAACCTGTGGAAGTCTTTAGTGTAAGCCCCTGCTCAAAGTAGGGATAACTTCAAAGATTGCTCATGTTCCTCAGGGCCTTGTCCAGAGAAATTCTGAGCATCTACAAGAACAGAGATTCCCGAGGTTCTCCTACGCTATGCCAATTTCACAGGTTTTTTTCCTTATGTTCAACTGGAGTTTTCTTTGTTGCAACTTGTGGCTATTGCCTCTTATCCTTTCACTGGGCACCTCTGAGAAGAGTCTGGCTCTGTTTTAATTTAACTCTCCATTAGATAGTGAAAGATCACAATTAGTTCCCACCTTGGTCCCCTCACAGCAACTCCTCTGTTCTATACTCCTCTGTCTTCATTGCATCCCAGCCTTTCAGCTGAGTTACATCACCTATCTATCTGCAATTTGTCCCCTTATTTTGTTCTGTAACAGGGTGTAGGTGTATAATGCTGCTCTTACCTGGTGCTTAACAAATGTATCAAAAGGTTTTGCAAAGAATGTAGCTTCAGGGGTCACTAATTAAGAGAACTTCAGGTCCTCTTACCATGGAGGCAAGAGTTAAGGCATGGAGGACATATTTTATCAGAAATTTTCAGGTTGTAGGTTGTACACCTACAATGTGTAGGTTTATGCCAGTGTGTTCACTCTCTTAATTTGCATTTATAACAGAGCCAGGTGACTTCTTTTTCAATAGGCATTAAGCATTCAGAGGCTAGTTTCAACTGGAAAGGTGGAAGGTTTATAGTCTTTTTGCAACATTTGCTTTCAGTATTCCTCAGATATCAACTCAAATCTTAAGGCAAGACAAAGCATATAGGGAAGTGGGAGGAAGAAATCTTTTAGACCACTTCCAAACTTCCTAAAATTTGAGGATGAGTTTACAGCATTCTTAAGTTTTTTTAAAAAGCAGTTAAATAAACAAACCAGAAGTTTTAGATCTGGTCTAACAATATTTTTGAATTACCTCATTTTAAAAAGAAAAAAATATATATTTTAAATTTCATATATTGATTTAGAGTAAAGAGGTTGTGAATATCAGCTAAAGATTCCCTAGAATATTTGCATTTCTGCATAGCATGTTGACTGAGAAGAGTCAGGGCATTAGCATGTCTGCAGAGAACAAGACTGTTGCCTGGGGATAGCTTCTGCTTCTGAGGATAGACACAAAAATGAGATAAAAATGTGAGCTATAAATATCTGAGATGGAGAAAGGCAGATTACTGTTCATAGGTGGCTGCTAAAGGAGAACACCAATGCTTCAAAAATGAAGTTTCCAGGATGTGTGCAGTAAGTGGTGAAAATTATTCCAGGGTCCAGATATTGCTGAAGGGAAAGGAAAAGGCTCTTAATGACCTCATAAATGTTACCGTCATCTCCCACTGTTCTATTTTGTTTTTCTCTCCAAGCTCTACATGTACCTATGTAATTTCCCTGACACCCTTCCCTTCCCTGTTCCCTCACTGTAGTATGTTTGATATTTTTCTCATTTTTCAGTGGAAATAAATTTTGGAGTTATATGATAATATGAACAATATGAAGCGTTGTTTTAAGAAACCTTGGAGGAGAAACCTGGGATGTGAGTGTGAAGCAGGAAAAAAAAAAAAAAACCTTAAGTTTGAGATGACAAATAGAACCAAACAGTCTTACTTCCTCACAGAACATATGAGTTTGGGATACAATCCAAGCCATGACTCTGAATCATCAGACATGGTCTTTCAGGAGCACAGTAGTCAGCAAAATAAATCCTGAGCTGAACTCTCATTCCTCACATGGAAAACAAAACATCCTCTTTTGCAGTTTAGTTGTGTGCTTTCTTATCTAGCCCTTTCCATTTACGCAAATGCAATTCCAATACAAGACTGCTTTGGAACCAGAAGTGGATCCCTGGGTTAATATCACTACAGAATTTAATCACAAACCATTCCTGCAGAAATACGAAATGGCAGTCCAGAAAAGACATATGTAATCCATTAGGTTAACAATAATTTATCATGCTGATCAGTTAGCAGAAATACTGTATCATCAAACACTAGCACATTTTTCACATTCATTGGCATGACAAATAAGTGTCATTGGGTAATGAGGCCTTATTAAAGCAAACTATTATTTACTTCCATAATTGACTGATTATCCCATAATTGCTGTCATCACCACTGCCACAGTATGTGAATTAGAACAAATAACTCACAATTTCACTTGCTTTCTTATAGGATGACTATAGAAAGGCAAGCAACATATGTGTTTTGTGACGCTGAAATAGCAACATGTGACAGATAGGATCTGTATACCAAGGAGACAACAGTTCATGTTCATATGATAACAGTAAATTTTGGGCTATGAACAGCTGGGTGTATCCTTTACATATTGTTAATTTTCTTATACAGCACTTGGAATTTATCAACATCTTTCCAAGTAAAAGTAGGTAACAAAGTGATCTCCCAGTACTAGCTCTGCAACTGTTAGTGCATTGCAACAATTTCATTCTATTCCATCTCAGAAAAAAAAAAATCCAGAGTCACATCAATTTTACTTTACCTTTCCTGTGATCTTTAAGTGTCATTTCCAAGCTTGATCATTGGTGAGACCATTGTGAAAAATGTTAAATAACACAGGGACAGGAATTCACCCCTGTGAAACCCCACCATCCACTCACAGCATTCATTAGTAGTTCTGGGTTGCAGGTGTTGCAGTGGTTTGAGACCAACTCTTAGGCTTTAATCTAGGTAAAAAGGAGATATGAAGAAGGGTTTGTGTGACTGAAAACTTATCTAATTTTTTTTCCATCTGTATCACTGTCAGAGTTCAATATTCTCTGGCCAGGTTCTTTTAGATATTCCACACATGGAGGATGCAATGTTTAATATCAGAATTTGCTTGTTTGAAGATATTTGATGTTACATGGGATTTTTGGTTTAGCAGAGTGACAATACAAGTGTAAGTTACAGTTAGCAAATTATATCAATTGCAATATACAGTACAATCACAATACCAATGTGATTCCCGTTACCGGTCTCTAGAATATGCTTACTGTCACAATGCTGGGCATCCCCATTCACTAGGAAGGAATACGTGGGTTGAAACCAGCTCAAGCCTTAGTTGCTCAGTTTTTATACTCTGTGTTGGGCTCAGCCACATATGCACCCCATACTGGTCTGGCTAACTCAGAGAGACATTCACACTCTTTTGATGAACTCGGGGAGAAACATTTATACCACCAGTTGATTCACTCAACTGCCATAGCTGTTTATCTAAAACAAAGGCCACCCTCTGGTGCCCTTTGTTGTTGAGATAAAGTCAGCTTTCTGTGCAACAGCTGTGATCAGTCACACCCCACATTCTTCCTGGAGCTTCATGAGCACATTGCCCTTATCCATCTCCTCTGGGTCTTCTTCCTTGTAGGGGTTTGTTGGTTGGTCACAATCACGGAAATGCTGATTAGAAGGGACCCTTGGAAGTCTCTACAGCTCCAAGCAGAACTTTCCCCAAACTATTTTGTGTAGCCCAATTATGAAAACTTTCAAGGATGGAAATTTCATGGGCTATCAGCTGATCTGATAAAACACATTTCCTTTCCCGACAGACCAGTCCTTGCTTGCTTACAGTTACTTATAATTACATCTACACAGCTACATTGTCTTTACAGCAATGACAAAAATACACTTTAGCCTCTGTTCTACACAGCCCTAAGAATCATGTCACTGATGAGCAAACAATAAGCACTAATAAATCATCTGTGGTATTTGTTCTCCATTTGCCTTGATGTGAGTAGCACTCGACCTCCCTACAGCAAACCCTACATGGGGTGTGGACATGACAAAAGAAAGAGCTTCAACCTTCCTCTCTGAGCTTAGTAACTCACTGTTTTGCCTCCCCCTGGCGCTTTTAATGACACCAATGCACTTCACCAATGTGGAAGGTGACATTACAGTGCCTATAGCATATACACAAAGTTTAACTCAGTATCACTGACCTATGTTTCTATGCTAGCATACAAGTAATTTAATGCAGATCAGTTTCTCTATTAACGTAATATGTATAGAAGTCCTGTCACTGAGAAGCTGTATTAATTATTTATGTCTTGCATCACAATATATATGCATAAGATACAAGGTTGCTATGACAAGTGATGAACATTAATAGCTTGGATTCAAAAGACCTTGACCAAAACTGCTTTGCACCTACTGGTCATTTGCACTTGTACAGTCTGGAAGCAAGGCCATGCAGAATCAGAACTATGCACTAACACGCACATGGGAACTGCACTGAGCATTGCAGTTTTGTGTGCTGTATCTCTGAGCTACTACACAGTGGTCATTTTGAGGCTTTTCAGTCCTTGGCAGAGGTTCACAAACTAGTCTTCGGCTGCAGCAATACTGAGCTCAGAATTGGCCCCAAAATCACTTGAGAGACAGGGTAGATTAGTTCACATCCAACTCCATTTAGCTGTGTCTAAAGATGAAATTGCAAGACAGATGAGCCAATTAAATAGCTCGCTGTTATTGAAAATGGGCTATGTGTTCCCACCTATGCCATCCTACTAGCTCTGCTATTTGTAAGACTTTGCTGTGCTAGTTCACCTCACTAATGCAGTAGAAAACATTTTGTCTCTCTCTCTCTCTCTCTCTCTCTCTCTCTCTTTTTTTTTTTTGGAGTTTCTGCCAAACCAGTAATTTAAACTGATTTATGATCTGGTCTAATGGTGGTCCTCTAATGAATGCTAGAGCCAGTACAAGGTAAAACACAGGAGTAACGACTGGCAGGGAAGATGGACCTCCAACCAACCCTGTAACCTCCTCCCTTGAAATAGATGGTATCTGAGCTTTGTTAACTACTTCATAGCTATATGGATACAGCAACATTCATATTACTGCTTCATAGACTTGCTGTGCTGTGCCAGGATCAGAGTTGGCAAAGATTTTTGTTATCCTTTCTAGCACTGCAGGGACATTGAAGCCATAATGAAGCAGGTAGACTGTGATTTTACAAAGTAAATAATGTCCATCCTGTGATGTGATCATTTAGAAGACAAAAAAAGAGGATTAAGCTAGAGTCTGTGGCAAACAATCTGAGATCAGAGTAACAAAGTTTTGCAAAAGACCTATATTTTGTATGCTCAGAAAAAGAATTCTAATCACACAGAACCTGGAAGATAAAATGTAGAAACCAAGGACACAACACAGTATGTCATAGAGGGCTATGCCTAAGCAGGCAAACCACAGCAGCCACCTGTAATACTCAAGTCAGCGTAACACGCTATTTGAATATATCGGAGTTCCACCAGCTTTCCCACTCCCTTCCTCTTCCGGCCTGTGAAAATTAGACATTTCCAGAGAGAGAGAGAGAGCCACTCTGAACTCTGGTTCATCTGGGAATAGGAAAATCCTTGCAATTATTGTTGCTTTCAACAGGAGTATGTTGCAGAAAAGGTACAGGAAAGAGACTCCGATCACTGCAGAAGCTAAATACTAGTTCTCTGCACAGCATAGCAGCTGAGAGGAGTTTGAACCACCTCTATTCCCTACAGCCTTTAGGTCTAAACCAGAGTGATCCATCCTGATTTTTGATCATGGTCTGTGAGAGACTTTGTATGCATTTGAAAAAGTCACTTTTTAAAGTGTTAAAGCATGTATGTCATGTCACTAACAGAAAAAAGAAAACAATATTATGAGGCTAAAATATTCTGTAGTATTGTAGACACTTGTATTCAAAGATTCCTGTATCAGCATTTCAGTTGCTTCTAAATGAAGACATTTCTGTGCTCTTAGAGCATAATAGGAATAAGTGTAGAAAGCATAAGACATCTGTGGTTCTGCATTCCCCTTCCTACTAGCTTTTGAGTCATTTGATTTCCAGCACAAAGATAGCATCTGCATCTCCAGAAAAACTCAGTGTAACTCAAAAGGAGGAGAGTTCAGCTCTCCATGACCTCTGGGTTTCATGGTGCATGACCTTGGCTTAGTTGAAGAGCTTTTTTCTTTTCTGAGATCAGAGTAAGCTAAAGCCAGTGCAAAAGAAGAAAAGGAAAAATAAAACTACACAGCTATTGAGTCAGTAATAGCTTTCTGATGGATCTGAGAAAAATATTGAGAGAAGGTATGAAATCCTGGTGAAGAGTCAGAAGACAGCAATCTAGCAAGATGGAGGAACAGTTAATTCCAAGAAACACTGGAGGCTGACATTTCCCACCTGACTGATGACCACCTGGCCAGTAGACACTGGTCATAAGTAGAACATAGTAGCATGTTAGTCATACCTACCGTCTATGAGCATTAAGCTATAAATAATTGTTGTCTGCTAAGGTGTGCAGATGCATGTCTACAACCTCGTCTGAGGTTTACCTAACCAAGCAGACCATGAGAAACCACTGCATATGACATGAGAAATTACTGAACATAAGTAACAGAGTGAGAAACTGATAAAAGTTACAGCACTGTGAAGGATACCTAGATTTCACATACGGGTAAGGGGGAGTTATGTGTGAGATGGCTGAACTTCACAGATAATTGGAGGGGAGTGTTGAGGAGTGGAATCTTGCAAGGCCAGCAGTACCTAGGTAACCATATCAGTAATACTAAGTAAAGCTGAGATGGCCTAGGTAATGTTATCAGAAATATAAAATGTGGGTACTGAGGTATCAAACTGGGACTAATGAGGAAAAAGGAACTAGGAGAAAGTTGTTTCTTGGGAGGCAATGAAGGCAGAGAAAGGGAGGGGTCAAGGTAGGTAGGGGAAGAACAAGCATGGGAAAATCAAGAGAAGGTGGAATGAAATGGGCCAGTCATGTGCAAGCTGGCTGCTGGTCAGAGAGCTTATCTGACCTTGCACCTGGTAACTGCACGGTATCCTAGCTTCTGATTAAATTCCAACTATTTTCTGCATGATCCTGGGGAGAAAAGAACAGCAAGAGAGAGAGAGAGGAGGTACTGCAAGTCCTAGGAGTTGTGTGTGTGGTTTACTAGTTAACTTCAGTCGTGTAGCTAAGTATAATTTGCTAGTGAACTTCATGCTCGACTAGCTGCCAAGTAGGACACCCACATCTAGAAAAACCTAAAGCCTGAGCCAACAACTGGGTAAGGGGCTAGGCATTGATATGTGGCAGAATTAAAACCTGTGGCAATATTCAAGGGATCCATTGATGTGGTGTGCTGGTGAATCTAGTGAGTAAGGATATCTGTGTGTGTTTTCACCAGTGAACTTCAGTCCTGACCAGCTGGAGAGGAAGTACAGGACTGAGCTAACTGTATTCATGTTTATGCAGGTGCTGTTTGTGTGTATTGGGGCAGCAGGGAAGGGGCGGCAGAGGCAGTAAAAGCACTGCTCTCTGTGTTAATCTGTATGGCTGACCACATTAGTGTTGTGTGTGTATCTGCATCTTTGGAATATGTATTCAGCCTCACTTTTGGCTGGACTACAAAAAAATGAACAGCAGCTGTCACATTTTTCAGATTAAAATGGAAAGAACCTCATGGATCTTAGCCTGCAGCAGATTTGGCTGTAGTGGACCAGAAAAGAGAAATCCCTGAAGTCCTGAAATCCAAAGTATTCAGCTAATCCTTAACATTGTCTACTCTCAAGTTGTGTATATCCCACTAGCAGGGACTCTGGGTACACTAAAAGATGTCCAGATAAAAGTGACACTATAGAAGTGTCACATGAGAAAATCCACCTCACCTATAAATTTTGATAGCCTCCAAAATTTCCACGAACTTCGGGGAGCAAAGTCTTAAGGACCTGAATTCAGAGTTGGGTGGGGCTAAAATCAGTGGTAGTATGGTTGAAATTAAGTTCTACGTATTAATGGTGTAGAAAACATCCTACTGCAGGGGAGCAGAACATTTGCAGTCAATTAGCAAAAACAGCATCTAAATTTATGACAATTCTTCGCTGACCCAAATTGGGATAAACATCTGTTTGTCCTGCTGTTTAAATTAGTGGTTTGCAGTAGTTCAGCTACAGCCAAGACTGAATACAGGTAATTTAAGTCCAGAAGATTTCCAAGATGGATGATGTGTAATAGTTGATATGGTGACCTTCGCTCCACATACAGTAATGGACTTCAAGAAGCAACCCTAGGAAGCCAACAGAAAACCTACTCCTATTCAGAAATGAAGGTTCTTTTTTGTTGTTTTTTTGAGGGTTAAGTAATTCACTGAAAACAAGGGAAGAGTTTTTCATCTGCCTTGGAAGACTCTCAGGATAGAGAAGAAAAAAAGTATGCATTTGGTCATCCTGGGCTACTTGGTCCATCCTTCATTGCTTAATAGGAGGGAAATCCAGTTTATTCTGCTTGATAGGGAAAGGGGTCACAGCTGGATCCCAGCCCATCAGGAGGAGAAGGACATTTGAGTGCTGTCAGGGGAATAGAAATTGCTGTAGGAGAAAGTCTGCAAACTCCTATTCCTTGGCACTAGATAAATACCTTCTATCAGACAAAAATCCCAAGAGCACAATGAATTACTGTGAAAGTTTTTATTCTAAAATAAATTAAGAGAATTACTTAATGAACTAGTGTTTAACTTTAGTTTCTTTAGTTTCAAATTGATTCATTACTCAAGCTAAAAGTAAATTTTCTGAAACATTTAGAAAATGGATTGAAAATATAATGTATCTATCTGCAACATTCTCATATAATACATCTATAGTTTTACTTCTGATATTTTAAGGAAAAAAAACTATGGCATACATTCCATTTTTCCAACAAGCTCACCATCATGCATAATCGTTCTTGAATGCTTACCACAATGGCTGGATGCAGTAAAGACAAATGCCAACAAGAATGATTGCTGATTACATGCTGGCTGGGTAACCCACTCTCAAGTTGCTCAATTTCATTTATTCTACAAAGGTTTCCAAAAGTAATTATGAGGTGTTGGTTTCTTATGATGGAGGGCGGGACGAGATTTTTCTAAAGCAGGTTTCTATCAAAAGGGTTTGATTGCTCAAGCACTGTATCCCAGTGCTAGCAGACACTTAAACCAAAAGAAAATGCTGCACAGTAGATGCTTTTGGAAAATTCTTAAAACTGCAAAAATGAGCAATATCCCAATGGATTTTGGGGAGATTTGTGCTTTATACTTCTCAAATGCTGGAATGTTTCTCAAAATCTTCCTCAAAAGAGGAACTTCTATTTCTGAAATTCTGCCTTAGCAACATCTGGCATGAAACCTTCTGTGACAGGCTTTTGGAGATCACTAACTGCTCAGTCAGCTATAAAATGTTTTATATTGCAGCCATCTGTGCCAGCAAAATACACTTCCTATCTAGGGCCACACCAGTACTAATGAAAGTGAGCCAACCTGAATGTTCAAGTTGTCCTCAACTCTTGGGACTCTTGTCCTCAGCTCTGGGACTTCTGAGGGACACCATGCAGAGTGAAGAGTAAACCATAGCCAAGCAGAGGTACCTGAGCAAGCTCTGAAATCCAAAGCAATACAGCCACGCCAAATATCATGAAAAGCTTAGGCTGTTTTTCTCTGAGTGCCATGCTAACTAGCCAGAGTATAGCAGTGCACTACCATGACTGCTGTCTCTAGAAACTAACTTCTGGAAACTTCTGCACTGCACCACCTCACACCATGGAAACATGCCAGTTTATCTGGTGATAGCTTGGGCAATACTCCATGGTTCCTCACTGACCTGCCTTGACATACCTGATCCAGCACATCCAAGTGCAAGGGAGGGTTTTTCATTAATGATCCATATGCAGTAATGTGCAGGGTGAATCAGTTAATGCTACTTACGAGAATCTCCATAGTTCTTCAATTCCTTGTTCATGTATATTTCATACTAAATTTTAAAATATCTTCTTATGCTCAACAGTTGTTGGTGTGTTGCTTTTAAATAACCAACTACCTGCCAATTTCAATTTAAAAAAACTCTAGCAAAGATCAGCAGAAAATCAGGATGTAAAGAATCTGATCCTGCACTGAAGTCAACAAAATATTTAGAACATAAGTCATCCAAGCCAGTGAGAATTTACTTCACATTCTGAGTGTTTTTCTTCCTAGACAAGTTATTTTTTCTTATTAATATTGCAGCAGCTTCTATGAGCCAGATCACAAATCAGGATGCAATGATGCTAGATGTCAAACAATAAAAAAGTCTGTCACTGCCCAAATACACTGTGAACTAACTAAAGACAATCTTCGCAAAAGTGAAGATCAGAGTATACAAAGATTTTAAGGTTCACTTACACCTATATTCAGAATACAGCAAAAGTGATATTTGGGAGATAAGAAAAATCTGATGATGTACTGTAGTGCAGTATAAATGTATGACTTTTTTCTAAACATGTCCCAGCCTTTTATGGCCTAGTACAGCAAGACTTTTTATCTGTATCAGGTTGAAGCTGAATGGTTTTCTCCTTTACTTTATCTTCATGATCCTTTAAAATCCTGGGAGAAAGAAACAGAAAGTAATTAGAGAAAAAGTCAGGAATACCCATAAGAGAGCAAAACAAAACCATTTCCTCCATACACATAAAACAGTACAGAGATTAAAAGAAAATAGCAGAATTTTGTGATCTAATAAATAAACAAAAACAAAGGAAACTGATGGTGGCTCCATCACAAAATATACTTTGTTCATTCATTTGGAAAAATGTTGTTGGTACTGATTATTAGCATTTATTCTGTATTTCAGGGAATCAAAATAGTGACTTTCATTTGTTCTTTCTGAGGCTTGAGCAAAGCCCCTCCACACCTGGGTTCTTAGACACAGTTTTGAAAACCCTCCTTCTCCACTCTCCCAGACCCAAGGCAGACAGCTGAATTTGAGCTATCATGAGCAAAGTAAAGCAAAGCACATCCAATGCTCTGCTGCAAGGACTCAACAGTGTCCATTTCCAAGTATATTTCTCCAAACCTCGAAGACCTTGCTGCAAGAACAATCACAGCATAACAGGCCCTCCAAACATAGCTTTCCTAGCATCAGTTCAGGTCATTCTGGGTCCATGCAGAGTATCACTGGCTTACATGAGACTCTGTGTGGACCTGAGGAACTGCTCAGTTGGAGCAACAAGATCAGGCTATAGATCAATTTAAAAGGAACAAAAAAATTATCACCTTAAGTTCCTATCACACTAATTTAGCAAACAGAAATCATTCTATCGTCAATCACAGGGAACAGTCAGGTACATTTACAGCTCGCAGACTTTGTTTTCTTCTTACCTAGCTAAGTGAAGCATGGACTTTTTGGTATTGTGCCCAGAACATGCACTGCATTCATAGAAAATTAAATTGTAATCCTAGGATCAAACAGAAAGACTGTTTCAATTAGTTTTGCATAACTTCTCACTCCAGCTTTAAAAAAGCAACACAGATATACTGAAACATATAAATGAAGAAAAAGAAGCAGAAATTGGTCATTTTGTCCAACTAGCTATAGGAAAAATTGAGACTATATTCTGCAGGTAACAGTAAAGAGTAATAAAATAAAAGAAGACCAAGTGTACCCCCAAAATAACAACCACAAGCATTTCTCAGCAGATATTTGTTCTATACTGTGGCTTTCCTCTGTGAGAAATTGCTCTCTCAAAGGCTCAAATGCAATCATGTCTTACAAGGTGCTGAAGTTTTGTGAACTTTCCTTGTGATCATGAGGCCATTAGTACATCACGGAGTGCTTGCCAGAGCAGGTGAAAAATATTCTCGTGATTTTTTTCTTAATCTTGGAAAGCTTCAGCAGAAATGCTTCTGTATTCAACAGTCTGAAGCCAATGCTTTCCAGCAGCCAAATGGAAAGTTAAAATTTTCAGTAAAAAATAACAAATCAATTCTATTTCATTTTTTATCCTTGTGACATTTTTCTGCATCTCCTTTCCACCTCCCCTAGCCAGACTGCACCCTCGGTTTTCTAGCCCCTGGGAGCTTTGCAGTTAAGTATGATGGATAAAGGATCATGCCCTAGAGACATGCACAGCACTACAAAGGATGAAGTCCTAGCAGAATATATGCAAGAGATCATCTGCACAAAAACCTAACCTGGCAACAGTGGTGTCAATAGGAGTTTTTGAGTGGGAATGGCAAAGGAGCATATCCTCTCCAAAACAGATATCTGACCAATTTCAAAAACTACTACATTGGAGCTCATACTGCCTCCATGGTATTATTACATGCCCTTTTACTCATTCACTGTTTCACCTTCTATTCACTTTCCACTTTTCTACATATCTTCTTGCTATTTATAATATTAAGTTAAAATTCAAGGAAATAAGTCAGTAGCTTAATCACATATCTCTGCATATTTTCATTTGTTTGCTATTAAGTGTGGTTACAGCAGCTATACTTATTTAACTATCCTTCATAAGGCATTTAAACTTCAGATTTTCTAAAGTTCCTATTTAAATGATTGGGTATTTCAGTTTAGTTTTTTTAGAAATATACCATGCTTCCAAAGCATTGCAAAGCTTTTTGAAATTTTTCATCATCTTCATGAAACTTCAAAGACAAAAAAGTGTAGAAAATAACAGTTCCACAAATATGGTAGCTTATTTTAGCAGCTCTAAAAATGCTCCAATATTGTCAAATGTCAATTTTAAATGTGTTGTCACTGGTTTATTCTATTTGTTTTCATGAACACCCAGATTTAACCATCTGCAGTAATCTTTGGCTGGTCAGATAAGTACAAAACAGGAAAGAAGGGGAGAAATCTAGCTAGGAATGCTAGCTTTTGATGGGATTTTACTGGTATTTTTTTTTAATTAATATTAGTGTTCTGTATGAATTTTTACAATAATGTAAGCCTACAATTGTCTTGCTATCCTTAGAAAAGTTTTAAGATAAAAGTTGACCTGCTCAAATTTTTTACTATCCACACAAATAGAAGCTTGAAACCAAATTTACGCTCCCTACTTCCTTGATCTGCTCAGGTAATCAGAACCCTAAGAGAAAACCTACTGTGGTCAGTATCTGGCTAGTTTGAGCCAGTCAAGCAGAGGGTGATACTGGGCCTACGTCTTTCTTCCTCACATATGACAGAGTTTCATTAGTTGAAAACTTGTAGTGATGACATCATCACTGATGCTGGAATGAATCAGAATGGATTTTTCAACAAATGCTAAGTGGCAGGGAAAATTCTTTGTAAGAAGTAACAGTTTAAACTCAGTTGATATTAATTACTTGTTTCTGTCAGTATGACAAACAGCTCCTTCTCTGGAAATTCAGGGTGTCATTTTCCAGTCTGGAAATTCGGGGTATCATTCCTTTGAATTGGGGAGGAAATATTAGCATGCACAACAAGAACCTAAAGAAGTAGAAGGCAGGACACATCCAATTAATCACCCAGGAAATCCATCTCTCTCCAGGGAATTAGCTATTGAACCTGGGAGACCACTGGCAAATATTTCATTTTAAAAAGCTATATACAAATCAGAAGGCACCTAAAGAGCAGGGAGGAAAATGAATGCAGAACTGATGACTAAAGGGAGCTGAGCAACTTCTGGCCTGTGAATTTAGACACGTAGTATCATACTGAGCAGTGTAACTCCCTCATTTGCAGTATCTATATTACAATGGTACTGCCAAGTTGATATAGGAGGCACCATATAAGCACACAGTAACAATCCTGATCCCATGAAGATTACACAGTCTGCATAGACAAGGCAAACAAAGGAAGCATTGTCATCTTGTTTCATAGGTGAGGAACAGAGATACAGAAGGATTTATTGACCCATAGGAGATCATTCAAGAAGTTGCTGGTTTATGAGCTGCTTTTTCAAAGAAGGATTCAGTGTTACACCTCCTAGTCCCACCTAGCTAGAAGCCTCCAGGACCTGAAATTTACCTGCATTTCAATGCTTACACAAAAACCAAACAAATTTCCTAAAGGAGGAAACTTTGAGGGATGAAGTCCAAGGCTGATATTGCTCTCTTACAAAGACAAAATAATGGACACAAACCTGAATGTAGAGGCATGATTGTACAAGGCTGTGTGGATACTCAAAGTGGGATTAAAAAAAAGAGATTTGGCCCTAAATCTTTCATTTATACAGAGGTGTTCAGCAGTAATCTTTTTTATAAAGAAAAAAAAAAAAGATGGGCATGGTATACAGGAATGTAAATAAATATCTTTGCTATTTGCAGTCCTTTGTTGCTTAAATTATGGTCCATGGATATGCCCAGTGCTCTGGCAGATGCAGACTGCTAACTCTACTTACTTTGTCTCTCTACTTGATGAAAAGATACTAAAAATAAACACACTTTCTACCCCTACTATCCATGGAAGTAACAGATGGTCTACTGTGGTCTTAAAGGAGCTGGGAGGGAGAAAAGATCCCCAAATTGTCTCACTGTTAAAAATCAATCCAAAGAGGAAAGAGAGAGAGAGAAAAAAAAAAGAGAAATAAAAAGAGAAATGAGAGAGAAAGAAGGGAAAAAAGAAGAGAGAAAGAGAGAAAGTGAGAGAGAGAATAAGAAGGAATGCTTAATATCTTTGGCAGCAATCACCTTTTTATTTTTTTTATCTAGGTGATTTTTTAAAACTACTTAATATAAGCATTTATACCACTGAGAGCTAGACTGATGAGTATGGCTGGGTTCCTCACCTTTAAAAATACCTGTCTGATTAAAAATAATCTGTCTTTCTATGAATTTAGACACATTCAGACTCAATTTAACAGCCTTCACCTTTAAGTTTCTGTATCTCTGTTCCCTTCTGAGTACTGTACCATAGCTAAATGCTCTCCCATTCCATTGGGGACCTCTCGTTCCTTTTCATTATCGGTTTTATTACCCAACAAAAGCACAGGTACATTCTCCCCAGTTGCCTCCTGCAAATCAAAGAATAAGTATCAGCTGAGGCATTTTCTTTAAAAAAATTACAGATCAAGAGGATAAACAAACAAATGTCACAATGCAACATGAAACTTAACACACCACATACGAGCCAGGTAAGCGCCACTTTTTTTAAGAATATATTAGGCTTTGGAGTTGGACTATAGACATGAAGAAGACAGATTCTGCTAGAGATTGCACTAAAATGCTCAGAATTTTTGATTAATAGGCCAGCACAGTTGACATTCAGCCTTCATATCAAAAAGAGAGAGAGAGAAAACTGTGATGCTACACAGGCTCTGATGCTGTTTGTATATAGCCACTGCTTTTCTAATTACAGGGACAGGAGAATAATAATGACATCTGGGTACAATTGTGCCAAATAAATTACATGAGGTAGGTGGAGAGAAAAAATACACAGAATAGACATAAACATAAACTTATTCTGAAAATGATTTGAATTATTATTATCTAAAACATCACAATGAATAAATTCATAAAGTGGGCTAAATGGCAAAGCAGTAAATGGATTTGGCAGTATGTGTTCAACTTGGTACTAGCTGGTACCAGCAAACAAAATCAGTCTGTAAATATGAGTGAAGTATTCCAGCTTGGAAAAACACTCACATTTTCATCACGGTATTTGATTTTTCTTCATCAAAAACTTGAATTCTCCTCTCAGTTTTACCGTACTGAATTGTAACAACTGCTGGTTTGTTACAATCATGTATTTAATAAGGCCCCATTCTTACATGTGCGTCATACGACTTTTGCATCGATGGAGCTACTCAGAGGAGGAATAACTGTGCCTATTAGGAAAGAGTTGAACGACTGAGGCTTAATTTCAATCTGCAAAGTCACCAAGTGGCCATTACAGAAAACTGTTTTACACTAAAACACAGGCTTAGTAAGGCTAGATAGTCCTGGCAGACCAATTTGTCCCCTACTTTTTTAATAGCAATATTCAGCAACAGCGAGCAAGTAGAAAGTATAATACTTTGTTCTCTCTAGCAACTCAGTCCTTAATGGCAACAGCCTCAGATTTTTATTTTTTCCTGTGGCCACAAGCAAATTCAGCTGCCTACTCTCTCAGTATGTTGTCTAAGAACCACAAAGATGTACCAAGAGAAAAAAGAGAATTTCTAAGTAACTGAAAACACTTTTTTTTTTTTATTTAGTGTTAAAAGGATGATCTCTCCTATCAATTATCACAGGAAACTGAATTCTTCACCATGAGCCAGTTTTACAGCACAGAATGTGGATACTACAGGCTTACAGCTTATCTTCAGTACAGTTAGTTCCCCATGATATTTGGTTACCAGACTGCTAGTTACCAATAGTATCACTGAATCAAAGCATCTCCCAGTGGTAGCGGTGAAACAGTGGGAGTCCTCAGCCAGATAACCTTCATGAGAAATCAGAGGACTCTATGCTGGGCTTTCCTCTCCCTCCTTCTCTCCCCACCGCCTCTAATTTTAAGTCCAGTAGCAGGAAAGCCAAGAGCAAGGGAACTGATTCAATAAGCAGTAGCCATTGGAGATATTTACTCCTTAAAACCCTAGAACTGTGATTATTTTCATGGACACAGAGCTTCTAAAAATGGCTGTACGGGTAACTGTGCAGACCAAAATCACAGAGAAAAATGTAATTGCTACCACAAGAAACATGCTGCCTTCTCTGCTTTGCCCAGCTAACATTCCATGTCTGGAAAAACTTAGAGATTAGTGATATAGTAGTTTAGATTTAAACTACTGTAACAGCATGTTACCTCGATGCTCATGAGCCACTGCTTGACAGCTGTGAATGTATCTTTTGCCGTTATATCATACATCACAATGACACCATCAGCTTTTCTGAAAAACTGCTTGGTAACGCTGCGGTACCTGCAAGTAAGAATCTGTTTATAGCTCCCTTCTTTAAGAGAAGCAGTAATATGACAACTTATTTCCTATCTGCTAGACTGGAGCTAGATCCCATTTGATTGTCTCAAGAGTCAGAGGCAGCCGTCTTGTCCATTTATCCCTTTCTCAGTTCAGTTTAGGCCACAACTATATGGGCTGATATTAATACATATTTTCCTAAATCAGGACCCAAAACATCTCCACTGCTTAATTGCTTACACTTTAAATCAATTGGCTATTCATATGAGTATTAGAAAACTGTTTTGTAGAGCTTGTCTACACTTCTTAACATCCAGTGTAGGTGAATAATACTGCATTGTTTTTATAGTAATCCAAAAAATAATGGAGTTTAATTTGCCTGTTCAAATTACATAGCAAGCCAGTAAAACACAGATGACAAAAAGAATGGAGGATGTTGACATGCAGTTTCTTCCAACATTCTAATCTTTGTAAGGGTTAAATTCATATTTATCTTGCTTACATGTTAATTTCATAATTCCATAAGCTAGAGGATGGAGAAGCTGTGATATTGATATTCACTGCAGATCTTGTTTGAGAGACATATCATGAATTGTGGCAAGCAATCACACTCTTCCTGAATCATGAGTTCCCTTTTCACACTCAGTAGAAGGTCCAAGGATGACACTCTTACTGCCAATGACTGCGATAGCAAATAAATTTTTTGCAAATATTTTTGGAAGGAAAATGTTTGGAAAATTCTCTGTGTTGTGTCTAATTGTTTTCAGGTTAGTTCCAATAATCAGTTGCATATCTCACCTTCTCCCATCCTCCTTCATCTTGGAAATCATAGCAGAAATTTCTCCCTCACAAAGAGCTCTGTCTAAAGATAGCAAAAAATCTGGGGTTTGGTTTTGGTTTATTTTGTTTTTTCAGGTTTCCTGTACAAAACCCAAATCATCATCATCCTTGGTTTTAGTAATAGAAAACTGCACAATAAATGAGGAGATGGGGAAAGGAAATCACCACTGTAAGTAAACGGAAACTTGGAAAGATTGAAATGGATATGAATTGTTTTGCTGCAAAAGCTCAATTTTAACTGAGAAGGCATTTTCTGCTACAGAAATAATTATAGAAATAATTCTAGGTGCATTTTTGAATCAGCCTTCCTCCTGAAGAAGCTGTGTGGCACTAAACTTCTAAGAACTTTAGTAAGAATCTCTTTTAACAGACTGGCAGCATTTCAATCGATACTCAGCACCAAATCAGCATATGTTAGAGATGCCACGGAAGGGTCTATACTGTGATTTCATTGGCTCTGTTAAGAATATTTGTTCCTCTCATGAGAGGCAGGATTAGGACCCTGCTTGCTAATCTTTAAACAGGTGATACAAGGACAAAAAAACCTTAGAATGTTTTTCTCACCGTTCCTGGCCAGCAGTGTCCCAGAGTTGCAGGGCTACCTGGCTATTATCTACTGTGACTGTTTTCACACTGTAATCCACACCTATAACAGAAGTACAAGGTAGGTTGTCTGTTTATATGCTCAGTTAGATCTTTGAAAACCCAGTCCAGCAAATGGCAATAATTCCAATAAAGTAACAATTTCACATAGATACTACATTTTGTAACAGAGACAAAAATTATATCTCTAACAGGGAGAGACATAAATTTTTATCACTCTCACTATATAGTCTCCAACTATCAGACAACAGGAGCTTTTTATTTGCCAAAGATCTTCAGTAATAAAATACTGAATCGTAACAGAGTAATTGAATTTTGAAAAAGCTATAAGATTTGTAACTTTTCAAATCAGGGTACATGATTCAAGAGTCCATTCAGTGGAAATTCATGCTGTATTACTTTAGCTGTCTGAATGTTTAGCATTTTGCCTGAACCAGCCACGTAGGCTTTTTCTACAGTCAGTGGAAAAACACAAGGCATCACGCTAAGGGGACAGTAGAACCTAAGATGAATGCTGAAGATAGAAGTGCTGAATAGCTGGAGAACCTCCTCCCTGCTATAGCGTGCAGGAGATGAGCAGACTATTGTTAGGTTAGTCCCTTAACTTTCATGTGGTTAAATGGAAGTGAGGCAGATATTAATTTATCAAAGTTTTTAAATTAATTCTCTCCCAATTCCCGCCAGCAGGGATGATATAAGCATCTTCTGGATATTAATAACAATAAGTCTTAAACATTAATCAGTCTCTGCCTCCTCCTAATGATAACCTGCAATCTATTGTATCACACTTTATTGTATCACAGAATCACAGAATCATAGAATAATTCAGGTTGGAAGGGACCTCAGGAGGTCATCTATCATTTCTCTGAGGCCTTCCACTGCATCAAAGGGATTTATCACTGGCATTAAAGTAGAAGAATCCAAGCCTGCATTCTTTTGATGGGTAATCAAGAAATCTGGATGGCGGATATAGTCACTATTTGTATTTCAAGGGAAGGAATTTGAGCTATTCCGTAAAAATTTGAGGAATATACTCTTCTCCACATCATTCACATCACTTTTGAATCATGTATCTTGTCAGCCATATAACTTGAAAAACCCGTAGATGTGAAGACTGAATGGAAGCTATGAGAAATACTTTCTTGCCATTGCATTTGCAACATTATTGGATGGCAGCTAAAAGATCAAAAGGTCAGGTCCATTCCTATGCTTTTCCTCTGGAAGTTCCAGGCAATTGCCTACACTTTGAAAGAGGTCAGAGCCATGGGAACCCCACCACCATTTAACAAGTTAACATGGATAGGCTGTAACACCAGATGAAGACTTAAATGTAGGCTTTTGGTGTCTAAGCTCCCATTATAGCCAGTGAAGACCTAGTCAATGAAGAACTAGGAGTCTAGGAAATGATTAAGCTCACAGTGAAGCACACATCAATGTGCCTGGTCAGATTAAATGTTCCACTGGCTCCTCCAACTGGATTGATGGGGAGGGGGATGCAATTGCTTGCTCACACACACCTACTGCAATCTGAGATGCCCTAGGGTATTCAACACGTTTGCTTTAAACCAGCAGGACACTCAGGAGACCTACACTCTTCCAAAGCAGCAGCTGGAGGCCAGGTGAAATACCCAGTAGTGATAAAATGAGGCTAAAACCCTATGCTAAAGCAACCAAACCTCCCCTTGGATCTTCACTGACTCTAATACGAGCTTAGATACTTAATGCACCAGTAGAAATTTAAACTGAGGTGTCTCAATCTACCCCGTATGTCAGGGGAGCTAAAGCAACTGGTCACCTGAGTGCTCTTAGTTTGTCACAAATGCAAGACAAATCCACTAATTTAAACACCTTTTATTGTGAACAAGTTTTAGTTCATATCTGGTACAGAATAAATAAGTCCTATATACAAACTAAACATCATGAATCTGGACATTTACAGTAATTCTGTACAATTACAATTATCTGGTAAGTTTTGTACCTTAATTATGAGTCTGACTTTTGAAAGCTTTGGCTTACAACTCCAAGCAATGCAAGTATGTTAGTCTTTGAGAACACTGGTCTAACATATTTTCTTGTTGCTTCATATAATGCTAAATCTTTAAACATAATTCAGATATGCTACTTTCTCTTTTAAAACAAAATCAGATTCCTTAGAGGGATGGAGAAGAGGCATGGAGGTGCAATGGTACAGTACAGTGCAGTCCAGTGAACAGGATATCAGTTTCAGAACAAAGAGGTCTAAAAGGAAATTCTAGCTTCAATGAAATCAATAGGACTTTCTGATTGACTTCAGTGATGACAGTATTTTGCTATAGAGACTAACCTGAATCCTCTCTGTCAATAATCTGCTTCCCAATTTAGCAGAGTTCTCTTTGCATGTTCTACTGTCCTTTTGGATAAAGGATTTTACAACATCTGTGCATTTGTATTTTACAACACAGGCCTAATATCAGTAGAAGCTGCTAAGTACTGCTGGAGTAAAAATAGGATTTTTAATGTTTCTTAAACTTACCCACAGTAGCAGCTGTGCCTGGGAAAAAACGATCTTCACAGAATCGCCTTAAGAATGAAGTCTTTCCAACACTTGAATTGCCAACAAAAATAATCTTGAACAAGTGGTCTGGGACAGAGTTTATTCTCTCCTCCTTCAAAAAAGAGTAAACATTAGTCTCCAACTGCTCTCACTCTAATTTGCCTTGATTTGAAGGCTAACTGAGGTGGGAAAAACAAAAGATTTTATCCCATCGTGTTCTCCATTACTTATAAAGCGAATTCTGTTTCCTGAAATAAGGCTTTGGACAGGAAATGTTGCTTTAATTTCCATTGTGATTCCCTCAGGTGTTTTCTGATCATATTATGCTCATGCTAACTGCAATCTTTTCTTCTGAGCCACTCATCAGAAAAAATGCTCTGCCTGGCAGTTAATTCCCAGATAAAAGATTGGTTGCTGGCCCCATGTGCTGCTGCAAACTCTTAGACAATTTCCATATACAGCCCTTAGGATGGAAATAGACTTGTTCATTTCTAAAAGCAGAAAAAGATTACATTGGTTCTACTCTCCCTTAAGATGCAGTAAGTCATAAAAGATTAGCAGCTAAATAATTGATTATGAATTTCTGATGAATAGGAAAGCTTATTGCCAGCAGCTAGGAGTGGTCTGAGTTCAGTATAGTAAGGAATGAGATCACAGAATGCAGTAATACAAAGTCATGTAGACATCAAGAATGCAAATGGCAATGGATTAAAAAATACAGTTCTTCCCAGATCCTTCCTCTTCCTAGTGCAAAACAGAGAATGACAGGACCTCACTGTAGGCCACAGGACCTGGACAGCCTTTAGGAGTGAGCTACATGACAATGATTACATGGAACTATTCTGCCTCCATTGCACAAGTATTTCTAGACCCTTCAGGCATCTACACATCCTCTGAGCAGCAAGATATGAGAGGAGATGGACTGGCTGCAGCAGGAAGGAGACAGTCTGGTTGAAATATGCCCCTGAGACTCCTCATAACTCATGACACAGCAAAAGTGGAGAAAATTTTTTTCCAAAGTTTTCATCAGCTTCAGATGAGGCTTATATGTAGAGCTGCCCTGGGGAGACTTACTAATTGGATACTACTCCTTCTAGCCCAGCCATACTGTCAGGAAAAGAAATCAATGTGCTAGCACTAGATGGAACAAGATCACTTCTGATGGCTGAATCTCAACAACAAAAGAGGTGGTCCCAAGAAAAAGGTTGCCGTCATTCAGGCAATGCAATGCCATATGAGAAATTCATCAGGTCACAGTTGGTTTACAGAAGAAGATATTGAGCACTGCTGACCCCTGTGCCACAGGGAAAGGCAGCGGTCAGACACTCACACAGCTTGGGGACTTTTCTGAGCACATGAATCAACTGAATAGTCACTGCCAGGTTCCCCTTCTCCACTATAGCTGGAGCCAACCAGTGTTCCCAGCTTGCTTCTTTCAACCGGGTCAGTAGGCCAAGAGGACCATGCAGGGAAGCACATGCTTCAGCCCCATAAGGACTAAGAGTTTATCAGAAAATAGTATTATAATGTAGGGTTTGGTTTTTTTTTTTTTCCCCCAAATGAAATGTAAAAAAGAAACCTAAGAAACAATCCAAACAAAGGTTTGGGCCAACTCATTAGAGTGGACATTTCTTTGAAAACAAAAATGGAATGCCCAGTTCTAAGTGGACTTTGGAAATGACCTTTCAGTTTGCTCTCACAAAGTTTCTTTAGAAACTCAAATGAAACATTTTCATCAACCAGACAAGAAACATTTTCTTGGTTTCTTCTCTCCTCTCCCCCCTTGCTTTCACTTGCTTTTGGAAAAAAAAATCAATAAACAAGATCTAAGGGAAGGTCCAGATTCTATCCAGCTGAGATGAGTTGCTTTCAAGGAGCATCGTTGCTCAAGTGCAGCTGGCAGGACAGGCCAGTCCTAGCTAGACTTGATGACCCGCCTGGCTTCTTCTATCCCTAAATCCCATAATGTCATACTTTGAAAATGTGATACAGTAAGAGGTACATATTAAGTTAAAACCTTTCAAAGGATGCAAACAGTGCCTAATGATTTCAGCAGAAGCCAAGCATATGCAGTCATAGAGAGTAAATTCATTGTTATTGCTATTCACTCTTACAACAGCTGGAAAGTTCAGAAAAGCCTGAGACTGCTAATTTCCCTACTACAGTGCAAAAGAGAGTTCCTGCCCCAGAGATCTTATTCAGTTGCAGTTATTCAACTGAAGGGAAAAATAATCAGTGGAATGATGTTGCCCACAACCCATCACAGAACCAGAAAAAAGCATAGTTTCCTCCACCACCTTTCCATCCCCTGCCAATTAGACCACTCCCTTTCTCAAAACGGTTAATGCTCCTCCAGTCACAGGACACAGCAATTTCAGTAAGGCACAGAACTATGTCAATATTCTAAGTTTCTGATTAAGAAACCAGATAATAGATTTTCTGGTTGTTATCTAACACCATAATAATAAGCCATATCATAATTAAAGCCAAATAAGCCAAACCATAATTAAAATTCTAAATGCATAACAATATGATTATCATTTGTTTTCAAGCAGTACCTAGTGTCAGGATATCTTCCCCTTAATAAAGTAGTGACTCAGTTCAGTAGCTATTTGCTGTGAAGGGTCCACCTGACATTAAGTGGAGGAAGAATCCAGCCATTTAGAGTAAGCCATACACCACAAATCAGGACATCTTGCTAGTTTTGACAACAGAACTAAGTTCTTTATGGTTATATAACATTAATGCTTTAAGAAGGGTTTGATGAACTATTCTTTTTAAAAATGGAAGGCTTCTTCTGTGTCTTAGACATTTTTTTATTAAGATGTACCACTTAGAACTTATTATGCAACCATGGCATAATTTTACCATCACTTTTATGACATGCTTGCTTCTTCTAAAAGAACTATATAACTACGTATGCATATAATTATATGCATACCTATTTTTTCCTATACCTTAATATTTTTAATGTATGCTTCAAGGATATAACAATGGGTAATACTTAACAATACTAAAATTAGATCACAAGCACAGCCAGCTCTCAAGCAGTGGCAGTGCAAGAAAGATTTTAGACTATAAAGAAATGTACTTTCCTGCATATCTTTTTATAGATCATTATGGCCTGGAGAATTCATTGCTAACATTTCCGTAAAAGCTAGAACTAAAAAAAGAAAAATTTGGATTTCAACTTGCCAAATGAAAGTCTTAAGTCTTCTCAAATGTTGATTAAAAGTAGAATATTTGCTCTCATTTTTGGCAATAAATCTATCTAAGTTTCTAGATAACTAAACAGCTACCAAAGTTGACTCAAAATTATCAAATTATGTCTAATATCACTTTTTGGCAAAAAGAAAAAAAGGAACAACCTAAACGTTTCAGAGAGAGTTACTTCTTTTTCAGACAATTGCTACCCTTCAACGGATCTTTATCCACCCTCTTCCACTACTACAAGACATAACTACACCTTTCCTAAACAGTCATTCAGAATCTGTTGTCTAATCCTCAACAAAACTTTCCAGAAATTAGTTATTTTGATGGCTCTCGCTTTTATAGTCATAAAAAGACATAAGTCCATGCACACATTGTCTGTAACTACCATTTTCTTCCCTTCTTTGCACCTTCAAAATTTATCTAGAATACATTTCCATCTCCCTGTTCATGCAGATCGATGGCCTAATTTGTCAGACTTTTACTTACAAACAGAAAATGAAATGATTTTAGCTTCTGAGAATAATACATTACAGCATCCTCTTCAACACAATTTCATGTTAGAAAACATGAGGTCCTCTGCCTCCTTACATTTGATAGTGTTTCCTTCCCTACTGGTTGTCCCCTGGAAGATGATGGTGTGTGTTCCACAGATTGTTCTATGTTTTTCTTATCTATTTCCTTCTTAGAAGGAGTATTCTCATCTTCTCCAGTCCATTTGTTCAGCTGCTTATTCACAGGCCTCTCAAGAAACTGAGGTAGGTGATCTTCCTCAATTGATATTATTCTTTGGAGATGTGATGCTTTAAACATTCCTCCACTAGCTCCAGCATCAGGCTCTACAGGGAGAAATCCATTCAGCCCGATAGAACCCCTTCTCTTTGCTGAGTTACTGAAAACATCATCTTCTTCAAACGGCTCACTAGACAGAGATAAAAAATAAGTACATCATAAAAGTACTTATGGGTCTGGATTCCTACTGTTCTCATTCCAATGTAATGTAATTTCATCTCCTATGTTTTCTACTACTTAAGGCAAATATAGTTGATTCAATCATGTACCTATTGAAAAACTAGTTCACTGTACAAAATATATGTATATAGTGTGCTTGATGGGTATAAGCATCATGAGGAAAGCTAATAAGTTATGGGGAAAATCTGGACCAGAATTTTAAAAAAATGAGTTTAGCCTCAAGTTTAATTCCATGGACTAGCTATTGTACATTTCTCTGGTCTGTTTTTCTTGTTTTTTTGATTTTTCCCCCCTATTCTGAAAGAATAAGACAACCACACAACCTAGATCCTTTCTACGTGTGATCTAATTCTCTGTTTAGCAGGTAGGAGGGAGCTGGGTTTGCTGAATGCACAGGAAAAATGGCCAAGTAGGAATTCAACAGCAGGGATAACGTAAGGAAGATGAATCAGACTTCTCAGATGCATACAATGGTTGCAGATGCAAGTTGCAGTAAGAGAAACTCTGACTAGATACAGGGGAAAAAAATTCCTAACAGTGGTGCAGCACTGGAACAGCTGCCCAAAGAGCCTGTGGGATGTCCATCCAGATGTTCAAAAATCAGCTGGACAAGGCCCTGAGCACCTAATTTAGTTTTGCAGTTAGTCCTGCTTTGAGCATGAGGTTGGATTAGAGACCTCCACAGGACCCTTCCCACCTAACTCCTTTTATGATTTTTGTGCTCCGACTGCTTTTTCCAATCATGGTCCACTCCTCTGTTCTAAACTTCATTAAATTCTATCTCTGAAACTTTCCTCTCCTTAAATTTCATACTCCTGTGTCTGCGGGGGCATTGTCTTTTCTAAGTGCTGCTAAAGTCTTCTTTCCAGCTCCTCTCATCTCAAAGGAAACATTAACATTTCACTGAGATCTCCATCTTGTTCCTGTTATTTCACGTTCACAATCACACAGCTGAGAATTAAATTCTCCTTGTCTTGCCAGTCCCAGACTCTTACACTTCGGCTGTCCGCTGCAGTGAGAGGCTAATGGACAAGCTTTTGTGCCTTCCATCACATGCTCATACACAACTAGGGAAGTCTTTTGCTTTTGCAGACAGAACACTTATTTTAGCTCTTTATTTCCAAAGTTCTTAAAGAGAACATTAATCTTACAGTGACAGACACTTTAGAAATACACGCTTTGAAAAGTCCCAAAGCTTAGTGATATCAAAAAGAAATCATAGTGAAAAAAAGAGCTCTACATCTTCTTTGTATAAACCTTATAGTACTCAAATACAGAACACTTAGAAAAAACAAGCTCTTACCTGTTAGGCAATACCTTGCCCTCTATGTATTTCCCAATGACAGACCCTGATCTTTGCTTCCAGCTGGCTTTTGGAACACCTTTTTTGCATTTCTGCAGAAATAGAGAAGTCTTCTCACTAATTTACTCCTGTTTTTCATTATGGATAATTGTCTTTACTGCAAATGCTGAAATAACACAATGACTATGACAGAAAATATTGCAGAAAAAATTCTAAAAAGCATAAATGCTTCAAAATCCTCATTGATGGACAATCAGAACATAGAAACGCCAGATCCTACAAGAATTAATCTTTGTGAACAAAGTGGACCACCATAAAACAGCATAAATCAGCATAACGTTATCAAAATAAATTAAAAGATCTACGGTGATTTACACCAGCATCTTCTTGTAGGAATGAAAGGACAAAAAGTGTAAACTAAGTGGCCATAGTCTCCTTAAGCCATTGTACTACTGGAACTTCTTTGGAGCCCTTTCTCTGCTGCTGGACAAAATGTTAATAGGATCTCTTCTTAGCCAAAACCAATAGGTTAGAAGTTTTCAAAAATACTGATTCAGGTGCTCACATGTTGTACTGGTATATAAATATTTCAGGAGATTAGCTACTCTTGACTGAATAGCTTAACAAAATTGAATTTTAATTGTTTTTTTTTCTAGATTATCTCATCCCCTCATGATTGCATCTTTAGCTTCTTATTAGGGTTATTATTAAGGTTCATCTCCCTGAAGATAGCTCCAACTTTATAATTCTAAAAATGTAGCTCTTAAAACATTCACAGCCCCATCTTTTGAGGATGTTCTGATAAGTGTTTACTCAATACTGGGAATGCAAACGATGGGTATTTACCAGTAAAAATGCGTCACGTTCATCTCTGAGATGTTTGTTCCTCTCCCTGCAAAGATAGAACACAAATAAAAGAAACAGTGACACCAGGATTTTGGAAGTGGCTGCCTTTTCTACTCAACATCAGGAGACAGATTAGACAACTGACAACATAGAAGGCAACATCAACGCATTTTAATTTGGCATATATTCATCCTTGACCATGCTTCATTCACATTCTCTCACAGCCAGTTTCCTGTCTGAGGCAAATCTCCTGCGGCTGTGCTGATCAAAACCAGCTGGCATCTGGACCTCAGCCTGCAGTTTATCAAAATAAATGCCTTAACATACAGAAACCAATTCTGGTCAACATGCCTTCATTTACTCTAAATTAGAAGGTTTAAAGCTTTTCACAGCAGATACTTCATCTTAACAGGAAGAAGGTGTAATGAATATCCTTTCCATTCATCTGGTGACAGCGGTGAAGGCCACTTATGTCCCTCTGAGGGCTACAGTTCTGATTATCCTCTCTAGGAAGCATCCAATTTCCATTCATTAAGCAGAAGAGGTGGAAACATCAAGAAACGCACACTTCAGGCAATTAAACAGCTCTGATCAGATTTGACAAGACATCTGCTCAATCCATCACTCAGTGTCTCCATCTATTGCTGGCCTGACCATAAAAGAGGTGGTGCCAAGTGACAGGACAAGAGGCAACGCGCACAAAGTGAAACAGACAGGAAGTTCCATCTGAACATGAGGAAAAACTTCTTTCCTGAGAGGGTGACTGAGCACAGGAACAGGTTGCCCAGAGAGGTTGTGGAGTCTCCTTCCCTGGAGATATTCAAAACCCGCTTGGACGCGATCCTGGGCAATGTGCTCTAGAGGACCCTGCTTGAGCAGGGGTGGTTGGACTAGATGATCTCCAGAGGTCCCTTCCAACCTCAGCCATTCTGTGATTCTGTGATATTGAGAATGAGGAGCCACTACAGCCTTGGTGAAAAGAAACAACCACTGCTGTCAGCTGTTTCTAGTTGTGGTCTCCTTACTAGCAGCAGAGGAGATTACACCACATGGAGTGGCCTATGCAAACCCATTTGGGAAATACACTGTAAACTATGAATCTATCCTCAAATTTTAGCATGGCAGTTTTCAGGTAATTTTTTAATGAGGCCACTTGAAGTAAATGCAGTAAATGTACTTCCCTGTAGGCCTTCAAATCTATAGCCCATGCAAACTTACTACCGCACAAACAAAAGCTAACATTGTTGCACATTAAAAAGAATTACAATTGCCAAGAGCACCAAATCTTAAGTTCTATCAGTCCCAAAATGTTACAAAGAAAATTAGCTTGCAATATTTTTATGTAATTTTACAAATAAACTCATTGGTAGAGTCTTCGTTTTGGCTGTGGTTCTATCACTTTAGAAACAATAGAGCCTTTTAGCAAGCTTCAGCTATCCTGTGGCCACTGAGACAGCTTCAGCTATCTTCTGCCACTGAGACAGCTTTGAACACCTCACAGTTGTTCTGTTTTACACTTAACTTCTGGAACAAAGGCTTTCCACAACACCAAAACAAAGCACATCTCTCACCTTTACTACCTTCTACTATATGCAAGGATTGGGCTGTGAAAGTGCAGGCGACATAAGGACACACTGTCCTTCGTACTAAAATACCCTTTTTGCTATGTTTTTTATCATCAGGATCATTTAATCTGTTAATGTACAGCTTTAGAATGCTGTAAGAAGTTCTTTAAAGTAAGGTGCATATTACCTTAAGAAATCCAGCTGCTTCAGAAGTCCTGACTTCTCCCGCTGTAAGGTTTCTGTCACCCTGTACACCTCCCTGTAACAGAAGGAAATAAAGAAATAAAATTGTACTAACCATGGTAACAACATGGCTAAAATACGTCCTCCTAGGAGTAGCCAAATTTGGGACTTCACCTTCTCCAACCGTGTAGTCTTTATTCCACAGGAATGGCTACTAATTTATAAAGAAGCTTATTCAGCAGAAAGCCCATGGGGCCAGAGTAGTTTGAGATAGCAGAGGAAGGTGTAGAAGTTTTTTTTCAAGAATTAGAGGGATGAGAATTTCTTCGTTCAGAGAGCTTAAGATAGACTGGCACTGGGACTTGCATTCAAGGCAGAGAAGATGAAAAATTGAAGTCTTCCTTACTTACAGCCACTAAAGTTAACAGGACACTTTATACAAAATTAGTTTGTCTGGGACCATATTTCAGGTTCATATGTCCACATTTCACACAAGTTCTTTTCAATTCCTATCCTAAACAGTTGTGCAACCTTAAACACTGGATCGATAGTCTCAGATCTTTACAATAGATTTTCACCATTTGCTTTGACTTAATCCAGCTTAGTGCCTGGCCCTAAATGTTTTCTGCCTTTCAGTGAAGCCTCAAGTACTTTCTGTGCACAGTCTGAACATTATACCTGCTTCAGCAGCGCAGGTCTTACCAGACTGATATAGATTTTTAAAGCAATGCTGCAGGTGCAGCTGAGTAGGTCTGACTCTAATTCCATAAAACACTATTGAACCCAAAGTGCTTTGTAAATGCAGTAGTATTGTTCAGCCACTGGGCAGATTTCCTCTGTAGCTTTAAAACCAGATCATCCTACAGTCTTTGCTCTGAATCTGAAAAGAGAGGCCTTCAAAGAGGATTATGTTGAAATTATGTTCAAAGAAGATATAAACCACCTTAAGGAAGAGTTGTCTGTTGTCTACTTCCAAACTACAAGTCAAATACGTAAACCTAAAACTGGTGTTCAAAACAGTGTTAAATCTTTAACAACTGCTCAACAGTTCTGCAAAGTTCATTATTTACACCTTCAAGAAAGATTAAATTAGTAATAACTAACTAGAGTTTGGCACAAAGCTTAGCAGAAAAAGAGTATGATATTTGATACAATATTGTGATCTATACTGAAACTTGCTAAAAAGACACAGCTCTGAGGTTATGTAGTTCACTGTTGAAATGTGTTGATTCCATCAAGATATGCACCACTGTCTGGCATCCAACTGCTCTCCTCTGGCAGCAATAGGCTTTTATATTACCCTAAGCTCTTCTGAAAATGTCTTCCATTAAAGGGACTTCAGTGAATACATCTGCAAATTACATCTTCATGGTACCGTGATTTTTGCCTTGCGTAGAAGACCAGAACAGGACAAGTAGATTGATCAGTCACTTAAAAGACATCCGTATTCCTCAAAATATGAATTTTAAATATTGCTTACTGCAAAATATTTTTGTAATTCAGGGACAGAAACTGAAATCCAAAATACTTAAACTGGAAATCCAAAAAAGATGGTTCTGGAATATCACCGTGAGGTCTTGTGTGAGTTGTGATTCAGCTGTCTAAGTGCCTTTTTATCTTGCTTACCAGGTTCCTTGGTCAGAAATTACTCACTAGCCTTGCTTTTGATGAAGAAAAGAAGTACATTCTAGCTTTCTCATAGCCAGAGTACATTCTGAAAAGTGAGTCTTAGACTTAACCTTGAAGAGGATGAAACATCATGTGCCACAACTGTAACTTCTGTAAGGAATCTTATTGTTATTTCAAAATCGAAGCATACTTTTTAACCAATTTAACTGATTTTTAATCCAAAACACCCCCAACAAAAAATGTGGGGGAGAGAACAGTCACATTTTGAAGAAGTAGTAAAAGATTCTGCAGAAACCAGACATGCTATAGAAAACACGACAAATTATTTGGGGAAAAGTCATCAGAAATGCACTTGGCTTTGCTGGTGGTTTCTGCATATATGATGCAAACTTGAGTCACAGTGCTGAGTGCCTTGTGAAGGAGGTTCACTGGCATGCCAAGCAAATGCTCTAGTACCACAGTAGGTGGAGACTTACATTTCCTTTTCCTCATGTAGCCTTGATGATTCCTCCTGTAGCATCTGTAACTGTTGTTGAGCTAGACTCAGCTCATGAGAAGTTTTCTCCAGGTCTCTCAGCAGCTCCTGATTAGTCAGCTTCAGCTTGGTGTTCTCTACTTTGGTTTCTTGCTTGCCACTGAGAAGTTCTGTACATTGTCGCTCTAACTGGAATAGAAGAAAAGACAATAGAAAGTATTATAACTTACTGAAGCATCTTGGCTTCGAGGTTAGTTGAGTGGGGACTCTATTTCTATCAAAGTCACCATATGATGGTAATGTATAATGGCACTCTCCTGCTGGTCTTAATACAGGACATAGTTATGCCATCCTAAAACAATGCATTACACACTTTCTGTGACTGCATTTCATACAGTTCCAAAATGCATCAAGCTAAACCACAAAAAAGATGTTTACAGGGTGATTAGGAATACTTAGCTGATATCCACAGCTGCTATTTTAGACTATTTCCCACCATGACAAGGCCAACACAGAACGATTCAGAGTTCTGGCTAAAAATTCTTGTTAGACTTAACTCTGCCAGAAAGTGTGAATTAGAGCTATCACTTTTATAGTCACTCTCCGAAGTATACACAAAGGAAAGATACACACACCTTGAGAAACAGTCTCCAAAGTATACACAAATGAAAGATTCACATGCCCTGAAAAACAGATGACAACAGTTTCTGCATATAAGGAACAAGTTCAACCTGTTTCTCCATGCTAAAAGAGCAAGTTAAGATCAGAGAGCAAAAGTAACATGGACCAAAATTAGGCCATCTTATTTCAAAGAAGGGAATGCTGACCTGAAGGTATAAAAGCTTTTTATTTTGTTGTTGTCGTTAGTGTGCATTTTAAGGGATGCAAATGTACTTTACAAAGACACAGTCACTGGCAGAATGAAGGAATCTATTCTAATTAAGTAAAAGGCTAGATGCTTCACGTACCTAGACTTTCACTCCTCAGAACAGTGGTTTTGAGAGAAGCAAAAAGTGATCACAATGAACTGACAGCACTGCTAGTAACCATGCTATAGGTAAATGTTCACAGCTCCATCTGAAGTCAACAAGAGTCAAGGAGACTCAGTCCCCCAGAAAACTTGTCCCAAATACTGCATTTGTTAGTCTGTGTTCACATCTGCTAACCGCCCATCCATAAACCTCCATAATGAAGGCTGCAGAATCTCTTTGCAGTGTCACCTCTGGGAGAGTGAATAATTGCTGTGCCTCAGAAAGATACACTCACAAGTTTGTAAACATATTAGCTAAATCTTCTGAATGTGGCCTGGGCCAGCAACAGTGTCTTGCCCATACAAAATACACCACTTCTAGTCGATACACGTCAAGTTGCCAGTTTCAGATTTGCTTCTCATTACCGTTTACTGAAGTAAAGCTTGATTACAAATGTCCTCATATCTCTATGCAGAAGACAAGGATAGCTCTAACCATGGTTCAGAAATGATAAGTAAAGCCCAAGGATCTTTTTCTGAACCTGCCTTATTTTACTCTTAAAGGAGCTGTGTCTTCCACTGGCCTTCCACAGACAGATACAAGATACAAGAGATACCTTAGCACCATTTCAGTAAATTCATTTTTCCGTTCGAAGACGACCATTTCTATCATTCTGTCTGCATGGTTTGTAATCTCATTCACAACCTGAACTGGCTGTACTACCATAAGAAGAAAGACTGTATTAATCAGTGTCATCAAGAAATCAACACCACACAATAGAAAGATGTGCAGTGGCATGATGACTAGAGATCCTAGCAACAATAATAATTCATAAGTAAGGTTAATTTTTAAAAATCATTCAATAAAGTTAATTTTTAAGGTAAATAATTAAGCTGCATTGAGCATTCCAAAGTCTTGCACATTTTCACACCTGCTGTTATTATAATTATATTATACAGTAATGGGAGATATGGAACAAGAGCCTGCATTTGGGATTCTCTAAGACCTTCTTTTTGCAAACACTATCTTCAGATGCCTGTAGTTGGGCAAAACTATGGAAGCAGGATAAGTGGAGAATTTGTAGATATTTCAAGACACATCCAAAACTTCCAAGATACTCTAAAAAGATGACAGCCAAGCTATTCTTCTCATAGCAGCGGTTTTCTCTCATTCATTGTATTAAAGCCATTTTTTTGTTTTAAAAAGCCATGTTTTCATCAGACCATTTATATCCATGCAAATTGTCTCAGTAGCAAAAGCTTAAGAGCAGCAAGTCACAGGCAGAAATCACACTTATAGAAAAGTATGGCCCTCTGAAAACTTACAAGGGAGACTGGCCTAGAAGCGTCAATGCAATGGTAGCCATCATTGGCTCCCAGAATCATAGGTAAAAATCTTAGAAATACTAGCTCCTGTTGCTTTTTCTTGTAAGCAAAACAATTATGTTCAAACTATGCTCAATAGCAATGCTCATAATACTTAAATTACAGAACATAACAAGAAGAAAAAGGGTTATTTCACAGTAGTTTCACAGAGCTCTTTCTTTGCACTGTATTGCCAATTATTTATACAACCCTCCTAAGTGATACCAAATACTACCTTTAAAGTATTCAATTACACAGCTTCCAGTGCAATGGAATGATTCATTAGGTGCATGTTCACTTGGTACAGAATGGCATAGATCTTAAAGGTCTCTGCTTATTGGAGCTGCAGATTAAATCCAGTGGTCATCCAGTGGATGAAAACTGATTGGGAGGGACACTCATGGCTCACAGTATGCAAAAGAAGGTCTAGAGATCAAAGAGAATTAACCAATTATCATAGACCAAGCAGAGCCACAGTAGCTGATGCTATATATATACTCTTTTGGATAAAAATGTGAGAAAAAAACTCCCTAGTTCAAACTACAATGGAAGGATATGGGATTGCTCAATACAAATGAACTTTCCATTATTGCTGTCCTACAAAGACATACATTAAGCACTCTCCACACATTCCCTTTCTTCCTAGCATCCTTTCATTATTTTTTATCATTTTTTTCTATTTATTCCAGGTACAGGTGAATGGTAAAACATTTACACAGTGCTATAAGGCTGGGGTTTGCTTTGTGCTCTTCCTAACAATTCCTACCACTTGATTTGCTTTTTTAAATGCTACTGAATGCTGAGCTGAAGTTCTCATGACTCTCTCAATCAGAACCCCAAGATCATGCTCCTGAGTGGCTGTCATCAGCTCAGAGCCCATCATTTTATGTGAGAAGCCCATGACCTTCCTGCAGTTTCCCTGGCTCCCGCCTACTTTCTTCCCCTACTACAATATTCTGTGCCCTAGATGTTATGCCGGACATCCCCTGTCCCCAGTGCTTCCTTTTGAGATGTGCCATCACATATCTCTTTGGGAACACTTTAAAAGTAGTGTTTGGCAACATTTCTAAGGGCTTTGTAAAAAAATCACACATCTCTTTGGGAGCACTGCTGAGAATACCCTGTACTGTAGCTAAGCCATGCAGTATGGGAGCAAGTGGACAGTTCAAGACAATGGTAGTGACCAAAAAGGCCTAGGCTAAGGAATCTTGGCCTGCAGAATGCCACTTGTCTTGCAAAGGGGAAAAAGCCTTTGAATTAGCATCCATGTAGTCTGTCAGCAACCAGTCAGCATGGGATATAATGTGTACTTCAGTTTTACCAGGCAGGAGGCACTCATAAGGGAGCCTGCATCTGGCTAAGTCAGCAGAAGTGACACTAAGGTCATTTTGCCTAGAAGTTTCCTTTCACATTTTTTATAATCATTTCCACTACAGGAATAATGACACTAAGTTTAAAAAATAATAATAATAATTAATGCAGCTTGGAAATAGGCATTTGGATTATTTCCAAAATCTAGCACGGAAGTTGTAATTAAATCAAGCTACTGTTACCATCTGCAAGAATAGACTTACTTGGCAAGGTCTGTTTCCATGCAAGAGGAGGAAGAGAAAGTACGAGAGCGCTCTGGTTAAAGCAAACATCAGACATGTGGAAGCTAACCTAGCTCATATTGACACTTAGATGAATGAGGAGCAACAGCAGAAAATGATTGGGTTTATAGCACTACAAAAATAGATCTGACTAAGGATGAGAGTCACTCTCAGGGCTGATCATTAGAAAATAGAAAAGTACATGTACAAAACACTACATATAATTACACTGAGTTAAGCCTTCAGATAGACAAAATAAGTTGCTGCCTTGAAAAGCAATCAAATATTGTACGTAAAATTGACAATGGGCACAAATCAGCTGGTTGAATAACAGATGTTTCAAATACAGTCTCTTATTTGAATAAAATCTCTCACTGATCACATCATTAATAGTCAGTCCAGTCTGTCCAGCACACACTTCCTTCCAATAAAAATATAAGGAGCCGATTCAATTTTTATGAAAGTATGAAGATCCTATCCTTCAACAACACAATTCTTGAGACTCATACAAATTCATACACATGGAGTAGGTGGAATTATAAATAATAAAGGTTATCAATAAGGTAGAAAACATTATAATACTATTAATAATAAACAATGCAATCATTAGCAAAGGAAAACACAAATTAAAAAATACTAGCAACAAAAAATAACACAGACACTGTCTTATGCTCTCCAGGATAGGCCAGGAGGTAATAATTGTAATATAAAATTTCCTGATTCTGCTGCCAGTATTTATCAGATTAAGCTTAAAATTGAGTGTAAGCATTTGAAGAGTTTCTGTGGTTTTTACACCATATTTAGAACACAAATATATTAGCCAGTCATAGATAAAGGTTTTTAGATAACTTGTTTTTGTTTGTAACTGATTGATAATAGAATTTTAAACAAAATTATGAAGCCAAAGATTGGAGAAGATTAAAATATAATCATAACAAAATTATGATGAATCATTTGCTGATGATACTAAACTGGGGGGAGTGGCTGACACACCAGAAGGCTGTGCTGCCATTGAGAGGGACCTGGGCAGGCTGGAGAGGTGGGCGGAGAGGAACCTCCTGAAGTTCAACAAAGGCAAGTGCAAGGTCCTGCACCTAGGCAGGAATAATCCCACGCAGCAGGACAGGCTGGGGGTTGACCTGCTGGAAAGCAGCTCTGCCGAGAAGGACCTGGGAGTGCTGGGGGACAACAAGTTAAGCATGAGGCAGCGGTGTGCCCTGGTGGCCAAGAAGGCCAATGGTCTCCTGGGGTGCATTAGGCAGAGTGTTGCCAGCAGGTGGAGGGAGGTGATCCTGCCCCTCTCCTCAGCCCTGGGGAGGCCTCACCTGGAGTACTGTGTCCAGTGGGCTTCAATAAAATGATGGACACAACATGGGAGAAATGTAGAAATACAGAACTGTTTTTCAGGAAACTTGCTCAATTTTAATGAGGCTTGAAAGGTAGGCAGGTATTCCTCTCTTGGGGAAGAGAAGACTGAGAGGCCATCTCATCAATGTGTACAAGTATCTGAAGGGAGGGCATCGAGAGGATGGGGCCAGACTCTTCTCCGTGGTGCCCAGCGACAGGACAAGAGGCAATGGGCAGAAACTGAACCACAGGAAGTTCCATGTGAACATGAGGAAAAACTTCTTGACTGTGAGGGTGACAGAGCATTGGGACAGGTTGCCCAGAGAGGTAGTGGAGTCTCCTTCGCTGGAGATATTCAAAACCCTCCTGGATGTGATCCTGGGAAATATGCTCTAGAGGACCCTGCTTGAGCAGGGGGGTTGGACTAGATGATCTGCAGAGGTCCCTTCCATCCTCAACCATTCTGTGATTCTGTGATTTATTATAGTTTTGCAGTTAGTTTCAGGGTAAAAGTGTCTGATTTGTGTTCCCACACATACCTCTTCAAAGAATAGATTCATTTGCTCTAGTGCTGCAATGTGGTTCCTTCAGGACTAGAACGTGGCAAAGAGCCTCCGTAAAATCACATGACTATTCTGATTTACAGTAGTACGGAACAACGCTAATTAACATCAGCCAGATTTTTTTCAATCCTCTTAGTCCAGCCCCCTGTCCTCATCACCTAAACTTGCCTGTTATAAATAGCAGGCTTAAGGACACGGTTTGTCTCCCGTCTTACAACTGTGCAACTCTACAATTCCCATCAGCTTTAGCAGCACCTGGATTCATTTATCAGAATTTATCATTTATCAGAAGATGATTTAAAAACCACACAACTAGTAGGCACATGACTTCCCTCAAATCTCCTTTTATCCTTCCCTCTTACTCCTCTCAACCTGCTTCCCAGGACTGTTGCTCCTCGTCACTGCTGCCAGGAAAAGAAATTTTACATATATTTTGTATTTATATTCAATAGGGAGAATTGGTTTGACAGCACTCCATTTCGGCCCTTTCACTCATTTAAATTACAATGCTACTTCCCTTCCCCATCTCTGTTCTTTCATGCACAGCCTTTGAAGACTTTTCAGTAAGTTTACACATGCAGAAGTATTCTGTTTCCCCAACTAGGCCATGCGTTTTAAGAAATAAAACACATTAGGCATTAATACGGGAACTTGACAAGCTGATATCACTCTAGTGAACTAATGGCAAAAGCAGTGAGCTTGATTGCAGTCCCTTTTAAAAACATGTCAATCAGTAGGCATACCAGGGTCATCCAAGAGATGCACTGCTGTAGAACCGTTATCAGCGAGAGATGCATCACACCAAGTTTTTCTGAAGGGAGTATTTAAAGTTCATAGCGCTGAATCCTCCAAAAAATTCAAACTGCAGCTGGTACAAGCCTTGAGCAAAGGTGCACACTCCATGATTCTAATCATTCTTCTCTGCTCTTGGGCTATCTGGGCACTAAGCCAGTTCCTAACACAAATAAAAGCAGTGGAATTCTGGTACCTTTGTATAAAACTAAGCTACTACTTGAGGAGACTATGTAGGGTATTTTTTTCATTATATCGTATACAGGGAAGACTGCTCTAGAAATAGAGGGTAACATTTTTCCAAAGCACGTGAATAAAAGATCTAGCAGTCTTAATTCCATTTTTCAAATGCAATCAGGTATCTATAGCGACGACACTAAAGGAACACAGGGACACAGCTAGACAACTTCTTGATGCACCAGCTTGCATTTTTGGTACCTAAAATGCCACCTAAAGAAAATCACATGGACAAATCAAAATGATCAAAATAATTAATAATGCAGGAGGATGCTGGTTAATACCATTTGCTCTTTTTGAACCAGTTGTTCCAGTTCTTGTTCTTTCAACACGAGCTTGCATTCCAGCTCTCGACTGTAGCACTGAAACCTCTCTGTGTCCTGCAAAATCCAAAGAGGAAATTAATTAACAGAACAGCACAGTGTGTCAGCAGGAGGAGACAGAAGGAGTCAAGTATGAAAATAACAGGCAAGCTTCTAACAGTGAATATAACTAGCTACTAAACTAATTCAATCCAGAGATGCTATCACTCATGATACTAGACTCTAAACTTGTGTAAAGTTGTGTAGTACCATCAACCTCAATGACTGCAGTTGCTAGAGCAAACGCTGATTGCACATGAGTAGGTCTCAAGCCTTTACAAACTGGATGCAGAACTTTTAAAAGGCTTTAATAGCCTCTTGTCTTTGGCACTTTGAGCCTATACCCACGAGATTTAGGAGCTTAAATCACTTAGCCAACTAAATCAATGAAGCTACAATCCAGCCTCTCCTCTCCAGCCACACATACCCTTCTCCTTTCTTATACTGGCATTCATGCTCAGGTGATCGAACAGTGAGCTGGTTCAGAGAGCTAAATCAGAAGAAAAAAACAGCAAAAAGTGAACAGTTTTTTGCCAGTTTATTTTCCTGAACTAGACAACTGCTAATAGAGGGAAATAATGAGAATGCACAGATAGAACCAACTTGGACCAATTTAAATTTTTCAGAGCGCCATATACAAGGTATCTGGATTGATAATGGGCAATACAGGCTGCCACACAGCAGCACAGGCTGAAGTAAAAGAAACAGTACCTGCTACCTTTAAAATCCATCACTAACAACAATTTAATTCACGTAATTTAACAGAAGTTCCACTGACATAAGCAAGCAATCTAGGTGGGCCTCAGAATCTGCAATATCTTTTGTAATGTTATTGGTTTGTCAACTGCTTTGCTATCTAAGTATTCTGTAATCACTGGGAACTCCTAATCCTATTTAGGATGACCCCTTCAGACCCTCTTCAGCTAGGACAATTGCCAGACCTCCTCTGGGTAAAATGGGATTTCAGCAGTTCATACAAGCTGAGAATCTGTCCTCTTCCACCACAATAAGCTCCTCAGGAGCTTAGCCTCTGAACAAAAAAATCAAAATTCCCTCAAGAAGGGGGTGAGCATAGGAATGGTTCCTACCCACTGGGTTTTGGGTTTTTTTCCCCTCCAGTAGTATACTTAAGGGGGTAATCAAATGCATATTAACTGGCTCCTTATGCAGAAGAATGTATATCCAAAAGAAAAAAAAAAGACTAACTGCCCTTTTTATAAAGCCTTCAGTCAGCTATTTAAGTATCTTAATAGCAACAATTTGTACTTATTTGGTTCTTAACAATTTCTTTTAATGTATTTTTCAAGTGCTGCTCTTCAGTCCAGTCATAATAATTCTGTTTCTGTAAGGCATCAGAGCATCTCTCCAGGCTGTAGAATCTTTGTTAGACTTTTCATTAAAGAAAGAATTTAACTATCAGAACTCTTCAAATCCTCAAATTAGTCATGCCAAAAAACAATACTTCTGGAGTGGCTGACAATCATTAGTGTGAATGCTTACTAAATTGTAGCTTCAGTGGTGAGCTTTAATACAAAGACTAATACAAAACTAATACAAATACTTTAATTGTAATTTAATTTAATTTAATCATTAAACTATAATAGTTCAATTTAATAATTTAATTGTACAATAAAAATACTTCAATATAAAGAGATGGCTCTGCCTCAAAGACGCAACTAATTAGAGGATGCGATCATAAATGATCATTTCTTATAGAAAAGAGTCTTTTTGTTATTTCAGGATTTTCAATGAAACTTCAATTATGTGCTATTAAGAGTATATAAACCAATTCTACCATAGCAACTGCTGGCAGGTAAAGTTGCAAATGCTTTATATCCTTCAGCAGATATACACACTTTATATACCACTGAAATCTGTTCTCTGTCTGGAATGGAAAAAAACTGAAATTTACGGGTCAGGTTCGCTATTGTGCGGGGCAAGTGAAAAGACTGATTCCTTAGATAATTGATTTAAGCTCTAATCTCATGGAAATGTGTTTCCATAAACTGGGAACATGGTTTATGTTGGGAAACAAAAAAATACTTTATACTCTTTCAACCACACAGGGATTTTTCAGCTATCATATGTAATGGACAGTGGAGCTGATAATTGATGGATATTCACTAGTTTTGCCAACATTTTCTGTACTATGTGTTGAATGAAAACATTATTGTTTTCATTTTATTAGTGCTTCCAAGAAAACAAAAAGGCATGAGACACTAGCTCATGACTGGTTGTCCCTGGCCACCCAAAGAAGTGGTAGAATCTCCAGCACTGGGATATTCAAAACACAACTGGACAAGGCCCTGGGCAGCCTAATCTAGTTTTGAAGTTAATCTTGCTTTGAGCAGGAGCAGCAGAAGTCCCTTCCCACTTAAACAATTCTAAGAACTCTTTGCTTGGACATAGCAGGAGTTGATGTCAGCTTCCTTGTTTTAGGAGAAAAAAATAGGACAAGAAAAATCCAAAGAACAGAATACAAAACTAATAGAGAGGATTTATAGGAGACCATTCATAAGAAAAGGGATCTGGTTGTTAAGTGTTCAGGAAGCACCAGGCAGTGACATACGATGTTGGCATATGTTAATTTTGTAAATAGTTGTAGTGGTTTCAGAAATTACAACCCCTTCATTATCTGTTATTTCTCTTCAGTGAGATAATTATCACCCTCCCCTACAAAACCAGTGATTGCAGAACTTGACAGGATTACTGCTGTTGTGAGCAATCCCAAAGATCATCATCACTGGTCATGACCACAAGTTGGACCAGCAGCAGCATCAACAACACAATGAGACAGTAGTTCAGTTGACATCCAAAAGAATACTGGCCTCTGCTGCATGACAACCACTGAGCATAGTGCAGCTATACTGCACTCACTTTGAAGTTACAGAGCCTTAGAAAACAGCAGTGAGGCAAATGATGCTTTCTCTTACTCATGTTTAAAACACATTTTGGAGGCTTTTATTTCACACACAGAACAAGGGTTTTTAATCCCTGGAAGTGAGAGCAGAATCTATGGCTGCAATAAAAGAGACACTTACTTTCAAGATAAACTGTTCTTTCTCTTTTTTGATTTGCTGCTCCATTTCCTCATAGAGATGCTGAATTTCTTCATCATAAGCAGCAATTTTCCTAACAAGAGATAAAAGCATACTGAGTGGGTCTTTGTAGCATTACTTCAAGTCATGGCTCACAATTAACAGCTAAGTACATTTCTGTTTTAACACAGGACTCCAGGGAATGAGCCCAAGAATAAGAAAAGAGTAATTTACGTGCAGGAAGGTCAGAGATTAATTTTTTTTTTTCATGGAAAGAAGGCTTCATCAGCTGAAAGCCTAACAAAGCTACACGTTTGAAGTTTCCATATAGAGCAGCTGTTCACTATGCAGTTTTAATGACTGCTGAATCATAGTTTCAAGGAATATGGAGCTTCCATGTGACATTAGCAACGATACTAGAGCCTGAGTTTCCCAACTAAAAGGCTTGCAAGTATTTTCACTGCAACTTCACTGTTTGCTGTGAGATCACACTGTTCACCATTCAACAGTTTTCAGTGGATGAGGTACCCCATCACATCTGAGACGTTTTAGCCTGAATGGACTGCTTGAAAGTCCTTCCTTAAATGTGCCTGAAATGTGTCTAACAGCTTTGCTGAAATTAATTTAAGAGTCCAGTTGGAGAGCAGAAATAAATATACTGTGCATAAGTATGTATGATGGTAGGAGAAAGGAAGGACAAAAGCTATTTTTTCAATATAGTATTGAAATAAGTACCACTGAGGTTTGATACATGGAGGATTAAATTATACTTACATTTCAGTTTGGGCAGAAGACTTTTAACCTTTGAAAGGGAATGAGAAAGCTGCTTTGTTCTACTTTTATTTTATTTTATTTTCATTAATGCAGGAACTGAAAAATAAAAATCCCTTTGCATCAAGCTCAGGGGACAGCCTATAAAGATTAGAGATTAACAGAGCCTTTTTATGACACTACTATATACTCCCCCAAATCCCTCTTGCTAGAGCTATTCCTTGAACAGTTTGCAGAATGCATTTGTTACAAATAAAGTACATAACTTCCTAAGAGACAGACAAGGAATATACAGGAGAAAAAAAGCTGCTAATAGTAGCTGCTAATAGTAGTGGGGGCCTACTATTTTTTATACCTAGTGTTCTACAAATTCTAAATTTGCACTTATTAAAGACCTGTTTATCTTCTCATTTAAAGCACAGCAAATCAGAAAGAAGCCCCCCCAAAAAATCATCCAAGCTAAAAGGAGTAAGAAACATCAGAAATAAGTATTTCTTTCACCCTTCCAAACATCATAACAGTTGGCATGCAAGCTTGCAATTTCTAGTCACAGCTTAGAATGGAGTGTGCATTTTCTCAGATTGACATTAGCCATAAACAAATATCAGTCTACTAATCTGAGGAGAATGTTACTGCTTAGTGTTGATTCCTTGTAACCTTTCAAGTCATGCTGTCATATACATTTTTGCAAACTCAAACTAGGTAAGAAAAGCAGGCTAGGCAAAGACCTCTTCATGCTACTTTGTGGTTTAAATAGAGAATACTGGAAAATCCAGAAGCACTTTTTGATCTTTTACTCTCCTTATATTGTTAAGTCAGGTCACGTTCTGACCTCAGGTGTTATTTTCCTAAAATTAAGAAAATGACTCACAAGAAATTAGCACTTGTTAATGGAGTAAAATGGCACCAATTCATAAATAATTAACAATTATTTAGATGCTAAATATAAATTTAGGGATGCTAAGATCATAAATAAAAATACTGTATTCATATAGTATGATGACACTTTGGTTAGGGCTAGGCTGATTATATAATGAAAAACCCTACTACTTCGCAGAAGCAGAACACACTGCACAGCAGCCGATGTTTCATGAGAATTGTAAGTGAATTTCTTTGCTTCTGGGAGAAAGGGAGAATAACTTCAGCACTGTACTAATAACCTGTTGATCTAGGTATTTGCTTCCTGTCATGTTTGGAAGCAAGAGGTATGGCAGTACCATGAGGACTACATCCAGGAGCTAAATCTGAATGTAGGAATCCTTTCTTTTTTAATTGGCCGGGCATACAAATACGTCATTTCTGCAGGCTGAATACTCCCCAGCATTCGTTCATGGCTTGCTATTCTTAACACTGGTCAAATTAAACACAAGTATAACACAGTTATAAGTAATGTAATCAACAAGCAATAGAACTAAACCATCCAATATATTAGTTCACAAATATTTCCCACACTCAATCAGGGAACAATAATGAAAACCAAAAGGTCATATCATTTGTTAAGTGAAAAATGCAAAACATATCCTGATTAAAACTCCTATTCCCTCAGATCATACTATCCAGTTTTAATCAATATGAAACTTCAGCAATATTTGATAATGTGATTTTTCTCTTTCCAGTAATGCTATGGAATACACAGGGACAGAGGGGAAAGGAAGATGGTGCTGTTGCTTAGCACATTAACCAAAACGGAATGTAACATGAGTTCGCTAAGTTCAGGTTATGAGTGCAGGATCAGTACACACAAGGATTTAATTTCTGCCAATTAAAGTAGCTGCTATGTGAATTGTTTAGGCTTCACATTTGCTGTTCATGCAGTTCCTGGCTGAGCAGTCCTTCTTTACCCCTAAACATGCAGAAACTGGAGCATTTAAAGTAATCATCTGAAATGCTGATTCTCCTCTTCTTCCACTGAAGGTGGACTCCGATAGTCTCCTGTGCTAAGCCAGGAGAGAAGTCAGTTCACCCTTCCCTTCCTTTACCATTTTGTTTATCTTCTCTATACTAAACTCTGTTGTTTGAAATAGAGTCCACCTCTGCTAGATTTGTTTCCTTAAATGCGGAGTACATGAGGAGACGGAGCTAATGGCAGTTGAAGATTTTATTTGCTATTATAATAAAAAAAGTCTTTCTTTCATCTGTTTTAAGCTGACTTCCTGCTAGTTTTACTAAATGCCCTTTGGTTCTAACACTAGGGATTTGAAGAAGAACAGTTCTTCATTCAGGCTATCCAGTGCTTTCATGGTTTTGTAAACATCAATCATATCCCACCCTAGCCTTTTTTGCTCCATACTCAAGAAACCCCACCTTTTTAGCCTCCCTTCTCAAAATCGCTGCTCCATCCCCTATATCATTCAATTGCTATCCTCTATGCCTTTTTTTATTCCACTATGTCCTTTCAGAGATGCAGAGATCAGAACGGCGTTCAGTACTTGAGACATGGGTTCACCAAGATTTTACATAGTGGCAAAAACACACTTTGTCCTTTTCTCAGTCTCTCCTTTTTGTCCAACATTTTACTGAGTTTTTTTGTCTACCATTGCACCCTGAGCTGAGGATTTCAGGGAGCTCTCAGCAATGACTCCAAGGGATTTTTCCTGAGTTTTAACTGTCCATTCCAAGCTCAATCTCATGTAGGTATGACTTAGATTTATCTACCCTACATTTATCAACAAAGTTCATATGCTACTTTTCCACCCACTCAACACATCACCCTATCATTTAAAAAACACCACTGTCAAATTTAAGAAGCCCTCAAATTTTAAATTAATATTTAAAATTAAATACAAATATCAGAAATCAAGGAGAACTAACTTAATCTGGCAAACAAAAATTCTATATAATGTATAGATGCCAAAAGCATAATGGATGAATGTAAAGAGTTACTATTACACAAGTTCAGTGCACAGCTTAGCTACTGCTGATTCCAGCACCAGAGCAGATATATACACAGTAGTGTCTTATATGTTACTGTAGTAAGTCTCTCACTTTAGTTTAAATCAAAAGAAATAAAGAAACAATCCAGTATTTTAAATAGGAGGAGGCTAGACAAAATAACCATCATATTCTCTTTTCGCTTTAAAATCTACAAATGTAGAAAACAGCACATAACTAATTTCTTTGTGATTATAAACATCAGTGAGGAGAACACCCATTCTAGGATTAAAAACACTGCTGTTTGCTTTGTTTTCCTTAAAGTATACATCAGCAGTCTTCCCAATGTTGTTCTATTGAACTAAAATTACAGATCAGCTTATAGAAGAAACATGCTCACGATTATATTGGTACAGTATTCAGTTTGAAGCACTACTACTGAAGACAGCTGCAAGTGTATCAGGAACATATTTGATTTCTGTTTATAAACCTTTACTGAAACTTTTTAATTGAGGGACCGCAGTAGTAGTAAGTTTCTTCTCCAGTAATAATTTTAAATGCTTAAATATGTATTTTATATATATATAATACTATATATAATACTGGGGCTAGCTTAGTATCCAACAAATCAGAGATGTTGTTTACCTGAAGTACCAAGGCACACCTTTAAGTGTAGAATTATGGCCTGTTACTAAGTAAAATAGTCACACACTAAGCCTGCACAGTGCCACGGTTTAAGTTTTCAGAGGATAACAGTACTAGTATCTGTAATAGGCTCAGCAGTAGATGGTACAATATGCAAAACTCTTCTTCAAGACTACTTAACAGTTATCAATAGACTTTCCAAATAGAAGGTTTTATACTTACATATAATATAGATATATAATTTATTTTTATATATATTTGTTATGTTTTAAAAATTCACAGTGAAATCAACCCTATCTCTTTGAACAACATCCAACACAGCACTGTGAATCTCCAAGGTGCAGGATCATGCTACTACATGTAGTATTCATGTAGTACAGCTTGTTTATAAGTCTACTGAGCTCTAGCAGGACAGGTTTGTAAGAAACACTTAACATTGACATAAATTAAGTGCTAAGGAATGCAAATGGATAACTAGGTCCTAGCCTAAGGTGCAACTAACTAAACAAAACATGAGCAACTACTGGATATGATATGAGAAACTGATAGATATAACAAATAACAGAGTGAGACAGCAACAAGAGAAACAGACAAGAGTTGCAGATAGCCCCCCGAGAGATGGCTGGATTTCACTGGTGGTTAAGGAGTTACACAAGAAACAGCTAAGCCACAGAGCTGGGACCAATGGCAGAAAAGCATTTAGGGACAGGTTGTTTATTTAGAAGGTGACAAGGACAGAGAAAGGAACCAGGGTGGATGGGGGAAGAACAAGCATGTTAAAATGGAGAGAAGGGCTCAGTCAAGTGTAAGCAAGTTGATGGTCACTACAGTTGTCTGGTCAAGGCCTGTGTCTGATCACTACAGACTATCCTATCTTCTTATTAAATCATATTTCTAACTATTTCCTGTGTGAACTGATGTCTATTTTGGGTGTTATCACCTAACAAATGTGAAAGTGGACTAGCAAGCAAGCAGGAGACCTGCACCTGGATAGATCCAAGATCTGAGTTGAAGGCTGCGGTAAGGGACTTAGGGTCCGGGCATGGACACTGGATGGACTTAAAAAGCCCATGCGAATATTTGAAGGATCTGTGAATGTCAGTGTGCTTGTGAGGTGAGTGAATGAATACACTGGTATTCATTAACTTCAATTAAGCTGTACCAGCAAGAGAGTAGGCAGAGGCCCACATCTGGAAAGACCCAAGGTCTGAGCCAATAGCTGTATAAGGGGCCCAGAGAACTGTGTAAGGGGCCCAGGGTGCAGGGATGCATATTGGGTGGACTTAAAGTATTCCCTTGAATATTAGCATATCTGTGAATGCAGGTGTGTTTCTGAATAAAGTGAAGGGAGAGGAGGAGCAGTGCATGGTTTTCACTAACAAACTTCAGTCCTGATCAATTAAGGGAGAGAAACAGGATCAGGCTGTTACTCTTCATGTTTCTGTGAATGCTACTACTTTTACCTGGGTGCCAGTAAAGGCACTGCTCTCCCATCTGTGTTGGTCTCTGCAGCCACTTTTGTCTGTGTGCATTTGGAATACATGTCCAGCCTCAATACTGGCTGGACTGACAAATGGGAACAGCAGCAGCCTACATCTAGTGGACTAGTACAGGAGGAATCCCCTGTCTCTCTTAGACCACTGGATTCAGCTTCCCTTAACATGAAGTATGAATGGAAATATGCTGTGCAAAAGCACTAGAAGAAAAGAAAAAAACAAGGCATAAAAGAATGGCATGGGCTGACAGCATCTAGATTGGCAGGTAATAAAGATCCTAACACATGTACTTGCAGCTTCTTAGGACATCCAGGTCAGAAAAAAAGGAACAATCTAAAACAAACATACAGTCTACATATGGAAAAGGAGATAAAAGACTATGAATAAATTTCAGTATTGCCTAATGACTCACAGAGCTAAGCCAGGCTGGAAAGATGAAAGATTACATTCATTGGCAACTCCTTAAAGGGTGCAATTGTGGCCTACCAGGAAGAACCCAGGAGACATGATGAGATCTCAATAACCAGCATCCCTTACCTTCTGCATCCCCAGAGTAAATCCTGGCCCGTCTAAGCAAATACATACATCTTATAAGTATGTGGGTATAAAAAAATATTTTTCCACTTCTATATGGTCTTGTCTGGAGCTTTTTTGTTACTTCTAAATAATTTAAAATAAGAGGCTACTCACCCCCACTGTTATCTAAGATGGCCTTATTCCTCTGATAGTTAAGAATCTTTGCAGGTATTCATTACATATAAAACAAGGATCTATGGGCTGAAGTCTACTATGAGTGTAATCAGAGGGGTTAGCAGGAGCAACTGACAGAAGAAATTAGCTAAAAATCTGATTTTACTATACAGGCATAAAAATCCCATACATTTTCAAAGTAGAAGTTTTATGTAAGCTGGAAAAGTCAGATAATGTTAATGTGTTTTCCATGCATCGCAGTGTGCTGATTACAGCTGTTGAACAGATATATTTATTCTTTTTGTTCTCACAGAACATGGCCAAGATTCTAACAAAAATAAAATAAAAAACAAAAAAACCCCCACATATGCGGTCATTAATAATCTCTAGCTCAGGACAGAGGCTTAACTCACATCAGGTTCTTTCCAACTGACTACTTGTCTTTGAAGACTTACAATCAGGTATGTAGACTTAGACAGAAATTCTGCTACTGATCTAGCATCAACTGTCTTCTATGACCATGTGTTTTTTCTTTTTAGAGAGAGAAAAAAAAAATCCTTTTTATAGCCAGGAGAGCACTGAACAACTGAAGTAAATGCTCAACAGTTATATCTGCCTTTATTGCTCAATACATTCTAATACAATACCTTCCAATAATACCAATACACAGCTGCAGGGCAATGTTATCACAGTAGGTTGTTCAAACCTGGGCGCAATGTATCAAACCAGTCTGAATGCTGCCTCTGTGATTCTAAAGCATTATTGCACTAAATTTTACCAGAGCAGAAAAAAAGGCTACTGTAAGTATACTGAAGGTATACCTAAGTATGCTTTCAGTTTCATACCATATACCACAACGGTACTAAAACTTCTCAGAAAAAAATGATTTAAGAACAGTTACAAAAGCAGCATATTTCACTCTTTCTCAAATACAAGTGTACAATTTTTGCTCAAATTTTCCCAGGAAAGGCACTCTCAGTGTAAGAATAAAAATATTGAAGTATCATCCTGAAAGGGCAAAAGGTTCCAGATCTATAAGCATTTGAAATTCAGAAGTAACAAGTTTTATAACAAAAACACAATGGAACTTCAACTGTAAGCATCATTTTGCAATCTATTTATATTGAGAATCACTACTTTTTTCTACTAGATAACTGCATATATAGGATGACCTATTTATTTTTTATATTTGTTTTTATATTGTTGATATTGTTTTTTATATTTGATACATTTTTAAAATATATTTCTTTACTTGCACTTTCACTCGTATCTGTACTTCATGCTGCTTTAACATCTTAAAGCAGTTGTAAATCTCATTTCACTGTCCAATTAATCTGAGTTTATAGTGATTCTGCATGCAGTGGCTGCAAAGCACAGAGGTAATTTACCAGATTTACTGGTATATCTGACACTCCTCTGGAATCAAATGTTTTATTCTGACTAGACGTGAGTTGCTTAACACTGTCTTAAAACAGCAATGAAATAGTAGACATCTGCAAAGACTTGCAGCCAACACAATTTGTTAACAGGAAAAGATAAGCTAATTTCAGCCATTATTAATAATTTTACTGGTAGTCTTTATGACTGATAAAATTTTACGTTTGAGCAACTCTTACGATAATAGCCCTCAATTCTCCATTGAGATGGCGTGATTATTTCGAAGCTGCATAGTATGTAAGGTAGCTGATACACTATACAAACACCCCAACAAAGAGAAGCACTAACTTTTTTAGAGCACATTCCAACTCATTCTTTTCATTATCTGCTTCATGGAGTTGGGAAAAAATTCTGGCCAGGAACTCTTCAAAATTGGAAAGTAAATGAGGTTCATCTTTTCTCAGCTGCAACCAAAGCTGTTTCACATCATTCTCACTGAAAAAAAGAGATTAGAAAGGATTTGTTAAGAGGGAGAGTTTCTCAGTCTACAGTAAATGCTTGCAGCATCCTAGTAACACAACAGAGACTTCAGAGTATCACAGGTCAGAACGCAGGCTTAATAAAAACAAGAGCTACTTACACTGGCCCAGATTTGAAAAGGACGAGATGGGTGGCGACTGATAGAAAGCACTTCCCTTCTCTTTGCATTTATTCCAAAAATCTCATCATAAGATTTGTAGAGAATTACAGGAGCTGCTTTTTTTCGTGATTGCCTGTCATATGCTTCATCTCAATGGGGATGGAGAAGCAAGGAGATAGATGAAGTACACTCTAGAGTCCCATCACTCCTGTTAGAAGCAAAGACGTTCCCACCAGTTCCAGTGGGCAAGGGACAGAGGGTACGCTAATCAAAAACACTTTCTCATGAGAAATGAATGGTATTCAGTCTCCTAAGTTGCTTAGACTTGTTCAGAAATTGCATTTTTAGTGTATTCTTTTATTTTTAACACGTTTTAATTCCATAGTGGGACTGCTAAAAAAAAAAAAAAACCATGACATCTTTAAAATTTTGATTTAAAGATTTAAAACCAGAATGTTCTGCTTCCAAATCTGTTTGGCAGGCACTAGAAAAAAGATGTTCGATTGTTAATGGTAATGGGTTATAAAATATAAAACACTGCCAAAATTCCCTTGAGTAGCTTTGTTTGTTTGTTTTGTCCTGACTCAGTCTCTTCTCATTCTCCCTGGCTGAACCTAGCCAGGGAGAGAATGCTACATTTAAAGGACAAAATGAGGATGAAGATAGAAAAAGTAGCTGATAAAAATCCTTTCATAATTCAGTCTTTCAGGATGACTGCCAGTTAATTCCTGCCTATAACAGACAGTCAGGCCAACAGAAGAAAACACTGCTGTTTCATGATGAGGATTACTGATGCCTTTCTTAGACATTCCTTTCATCTGCCCAGATTCCCTCCCATTTTTGCCTCTACACATCCCTTGATTTAAAACATTCACGGTGACTAACCAATGAATTTCAGGCCAACACATGGGAAGCTCTTAGAACAGGGTATGTTTTTGGGCTCTGTGTTTATATAGCACCTAGCAGAGTGAGTTATCCTGGTCCTGGAAGAGGTGGGTGCTATCATAGCATTCACAACATGCAGTTATGCATGAAGGAGAGAAAAGGTGGAAAAGGAGAGAAATCATTTTTGTTTGTGGTTAACCGGTAAACTTTAAACGTAGTCCTTGCCAAGAAAGCGGTTGCCATGCATTACTTTATTCAAATCAGTGGTGTCTGTGGATTCTCATATAATGTATCAGTAGTGATCTATGTTCCAAAATCATGATATGCAGTGCTTTGGTACTATTGCTTTCACATGGCACAGGCGCACTTTTCACATGCCTGGGGTGCAACAGTATTGCTCTTGGAAGTTTTGGGTTGAATGGCATTTTATCATCTTTGGCAACCAAGAAAATTCATTTTTAAAGAATCACTATGTTACCAAAGGGCCTTGGTTCCTATCTCTCATCTTGGAGTTCATTAAAATTAAATCATAGAAATGAATCATAAAAGACCATACAATCTGCTATTACTTCTGGGAAAGACTCACTCTTCCAAAACCTTTTTAGCTCCAAGCCGGTCCATCAGATTTGAGAACTGGTGTTCTTCATCCTCATCATCACTCATGCTCTCTTCCCGTTTAAGCAGGCAGGCTGTTTCACTTTCTGATTGCTGCATCTCATTATTTAAAGCCATCTGCCCCAAAAGAAACTGGCCTAAGAGTTAGAAATTACATAGCTTAAAAAGTTGTTTAGCATCATCAGAAGCTACTATAAGAAGCAATGTCATTTAACAGCAACATATCCAAGATCAAATTTTACAGTAAATGTAATTTGTGAGGAAGGGAAACACCCACACTTGCTTACAGGAAAAGAGATTGTTTTCCCCTAAAAAAGATGTAGGAATAAAGAATTACGGTTAACAACTTTTTGTTTTTGCAGGGACTATCAAAATAAACTTAATTTATCTATGACATATGTACAATTTAGTTATGAAAAATAAAGCAGTAATACATCATTTCATTTTCAAATAAGGGCAAATTTAATTAGGATTAGAAATTAGAGTGTACTGCTTAAAAAGATTATTTTTTGCTTGAACTAGCTCTAAAATGGGAGAGGTGGGATATGAGAGAACTAAAATGTCAATTTATTGGTGATTTGTAAACAAAAATTAAGGTCCTATTTGCAGGGCCTATATGAAGTATTTAAATGTTAGAATTCACATATAGAAGAAACGCTTTTCTACAGAAAACACTCAAATCTGATGTTTATAATACAGTCAACAAAGCTAAACTTTAAGAACAAAATTGATTCTGGGTAAACAACCAACCTTTTGAGCAAACAGCCTCACTAACACTGCACTGTTACCTTATCTGGAATGCCACAGTTGTGGAGAAAACCACCCTTTCACAAAAACAGGGAATATGATGGTAAGAGCACTGCTGCAGAGCAGGCAGTCACAAAGAACTTCCTTACATGTAGACTCCCACTGTACAGTACCAGCAATTGCCTCATCCTGTTTGTTTTGAAATAAAGTAACATCCCTTGAAATACTAATGTGTTGTGGAAACCATTCTCATAGCTGTAAGTGTGGTAGTAATAACACCATTTTAGACCGTTCTTGTCTCATATTAACCCTGACAAAAAGTATTTCATGTAATAATGTCATGTATTTTTTCATATCAGGCCTTAAAAAACCCCAAATAAAAGACCTTAGTTTTTACCCCAAGGTAGATTTTCCAAAATTTCTTTATAGTTCTGCTCGACAGGTCAATTTCAGATTGCCACATCATATGTCTCATATTGTGCCATGGCTTCCCATCTTACATGGGACAGAAAGATCCTCCAGCCCTTTAATCAAAATGAATTCCTATAGACATAATTTGAACTCTTCTTTGTCTGTAACATACACGTGCTATATCTGGGGAATAGTCTGGCTCCCTGTGTGCATCATACCTGTACTCTTAAGATACAATGCTTCTTTATCGATATGAGAGTAAAGAAAATGAATAAAGCTCTATATAGGAGGCATGCTTTGCAAACTCACTGAATCCGGTGGTGAACTCCTTTGGGGTAAGTGACCCATTGCCATCAGCATCCAATGTAACAAAAACCTTTTCCAGTTCTTCCAGGCTAAGAGGTAACTCAGGATACAGTCTCTAGAATGACAAAACATGCTGCAACTTCACCGCTATTACAGGATGAGAGAAAGATTAGAATCTGTAGAACAAGCCAATGATCTCCATTAGGATACAGAAGGATAGGTGCTTTTGTTTCCCAGAGTGAACATTTAAATACATCACAAAAGAGTGAAACAACATCAGCCAAGGAAGATTTGCCAAAGAATCCTTTATGACATAAGAGTAAGAACATTCTCTCTGGAAGCAGGTGACTTGGATTCCAACCCACAGGGAAGAGGTAGAATTTGAAGTGGAGTCTCAACATCCTGGCAAAATGCCTTGGTTATCATGCAGCTGGACAAATCTGCCAGCAGATTTGTAAACCCAGTTCCATGTCATTACAATGTCAATCAAGAGACTCCCTAAACAAGAACATTTTAAAAGATATATTCTCCTAATTAAAGCAGTTTTAAAATGTGTAAACCAAATAAAACAAATCTAAGGAAGCTACATGGTCCAAGTGTTGTCCCAAAAGAAGGGTTCTTTCACTCAGTGTGCAATGAGCCAAAAAACACCCAAAGTCGAGATATTTGTCTAATTCATTTCTGTGCAGAGATGGGTGCTGGGTGGTAATTCCATAATGTTAGTACACCTGATTACTACACAGCTGACACTTTATACAGTTTGAGCAACAGTTATCAGTACATTTTACAACTGCATTAAGTCACCCTTGATCCCATCGGTTCTTGCTAGGTCTCGTCTTCATTTAAAGTAACAGTATCCTCTTTTTCTACTATGCATGCTCTATGGGGAAGGGGCTTTGGTTGGGGGCTTCCCTGCTCGTGGATGGGGTTTTTATTATGCTAATTAGGATAGTTCACCCTTAGTTCAAGTAGTTCTCTTTGGTTTATCAGCTGTTTCTGTTCTCTTTGGGCTTATTTGGGTACTTCTTTATCTGGCTGACTAATGGTGTCATCTTGCTCCTTTCTTCAAGGCCTTGTTTTGTTAACTATCTTTGAAAGACCGAGTAATGCCCTATTCTCCTTTTTCTGCATACCTCTAACACAAGGAACAAACCTACTGCATTGTTCATATCTATCTACTTCTGAAATGCAGTGGACTCACACAGAAAGGGCAATACTTCATGAAACCAGCTTTGCAAAATCACTTTTTTTCTGAGAAACTACAGACAGACAAAAGAAGCAAAAACACTGCCCTCTAACGCTGGTCTTAATGTCAATATCCTTCTTTTAATGGCAGAGAAAGATTCACAGAAATAGACGCATGCTGGAGCAGTAAACAACTAGAATAACAAGAATGCACACTGGGAGACAGCACTGTAAGGAGTAAAACCCTACCTCAGCCAAGGAAGCAATATAAATACACATTGATGAAGTTCTCTGCTTTATTAGTTACTATTTTAATCCCTTCCATGAACTCCTACCGAATATGCAACATATTGTATATAAAAATTGCAAGCTAGTAGTTTGATAAAATTCATTAGACCAAAACGGCTGATTTGTTCCACTGGGAGAAAAGGCTCTAGGTCTGCAGACAGTAATGAACCTCTTTTGATCCAAAAACAATAGAAACCACCAGCCAAGACCACCAGCCATGTGGGTAAGCATGGGCTGAGTGTATGCAACAGTATTTCCCTAGCTGCATATGCCTGTAGATTAGGGTTTATATTATAAATCTGTATAAGTTGAAGGGAAGAGCAGTAAAAAGAATTCTGAACATGATCTTAAAAAGGGAGAGTGATAGAACTTCTAGAGCACAAAACTATCTGGAATGGCCCAGAGGGGATTTCTGAGTAGGGTAATTGTCCATTGCTATCTGCTTCTAAAAAACTAAGGAAACATGATTTGCATTCAGTATAAATCAAATCACTAAAGATACACCTGAGGTACCATCAGTTTCTCATCTAAGCAAACCCATCTTCCCAAAGCTTTAGATTTTAATCACTTAGGTGAAAAGGCAAAAACTTTATTTTGTTGGTTTCTTTTGTAAACTTCTTACAGCCTACATGGCAATGATAAGGGAGGTGTTCAGATACTACTTTTTTTACTCTTAGAAAACAGAAACTCTCCTCCTACTGATAGATCTTCCAGAGTTGCTGGATGAGTGTTTCTTGTGTGCTGGTTCAGGCAACTATACTGCTGCCCTCTCCTGTCACCATGTCAAACATACACATAGAAACCACCTGCTGTTCCAGTACAACTGCTTGTGAGCCCTGCTGCAAAGCAGACTGAGGAACAGATTGAGATTAAAATAACCACACTTTTGCCAGGATTTTTTACAGTATTTAGTTTACCATGCAGCTCATATACAGCTGTAGCAGTAGGGAGTGAGTGAGGCAGAGGCAGGAAGAAGCAGCTGGGACCATACAAACCAGACCTACCACATAAATATATGCTTCTGCAATTACAGCTCAACGCCCTACTACAAGATTCAAATTCTGAACCAAATCCTACTAAATTCACAATACAAAACACTACAGAAAATGGTGCAGTCACATCTATTTCCTTGAATAAATATGAAAATAGGAGATTTTGAAGAATACAGCAACATTTTGCTCCTTAAAATTCTCTGAGGATTAATTACTGGACCTGATGAGTATAGGTTTGGGGCCACAGTTAGCACTGTTACTAAGATTAAGTCAGAGTTTTCTCAATCTCTTTTTTTTATTAATCAAAAAATTGTTAAGAGTTTGTTTTTTATGGAAACAAAATGTTATTCTTGATCTCATATGTGAGTTTATGTTTATTTGTTCATTTTGAGTTTATTGTAAAAATATATAGTTCATAACAACGGAAAGAAAAAAGAAAGCTTATATCCAAAGATACAACTGGTACTTAATGAGAATTTATCAGCGTTCCTACCTATTGTGTCTCTATATTTTCATGACATCTGGTCATGCAAACATCAACTAACAATACTAAGCTTTTGCTCTGCTAAATAAAAACACAGAGGCCAAACAGATAAAAGTAAGAACCGAACCTTATTCTGCTTTCTGCATTAAAACAAAACAAAACCAATCCTTATTACTCATGATAAACTCGAGACCCACGTGCAAAGCTGTGGTTTCAAGTCTCAAGTAGAATTTCCTTTCTTGAAAGTTTGGAAAACCTACTGTTTCTTTGAAAGTTAAGCATGTTTGACATAAAATTCTGGAATGGAATGGAAAACAACAAACAAGCAGTATCAACATAATCTCAAAATAAACAGCATGGTACAATCAGGCAATAGTACATCTTTTAATATATGATGTACTACAGACACTTCAGAAAACTTTGCTCACGAGGTCTGTTCCACAGAATCACAGAATCACAGAATCGTTTAGGTTGGAAGGGACCTCTGGAGATCATCTAGTCCAACCCCCCTGCTCAAGCAGGGTCCTCTAGAGCGTATTTCCCAGGATCACATCCAGGAGGGTTTTGAATATCTCCAGCGAAGGAGACTCCACTACCTCTCTGGGCAACCTGTCCCAATGCTCTGTCACCCTCACAGTCAAGAAGTTTTTCCTCATGTTCACATGGAACTTCCTGTGGTTCAGTTTCTGCCCATTGCCTCTTGTCCTGTCGCTGGGCACCACGGAGAAGAGTCTGGCCCCAGACACTGCTGCGCAAACTGCTGCGTCTGTTCGCTGCCTCTGTTGGCTGCGCTCTGGGAGCTGCGCTCTAGGCCTGGCTCTTATATAGGCCTCTGCCTAGCAGTGACTCACAAGGGTGCTTGACCCACCCAATCAGGAGCCACCTGAAACAAAAGCCCCAACTCCCTCTGACCAGGGCAGCCCAGAGAGCTCGTTAGCAGCAGCCCCACCTAGCTAGAACTTCCCAGGAGAAGTTAAGTCAAGGTCCCCTGCAGGAGTCCTTGCCCAGCTCTCCCTTCCTGCTAGCAGCAAGCACCGTCTAGTTCCTCGGGGGTCCCCAGAAAGTCTCCACAACTTCCAACAAGGCCCACAAAAGGCCCAGGCAGAGCCCAGACACTGCTGCGCAAACTGCTGCGTCTGTTCGCTGCCTCTGTTGGCTGCGCTCTGGGAGCTGCGCTCTAGGCCTGGCTCTTATATAGGCCTCTGCCTAGCAGTGACTCACAAGGGTGCTTGACCCACCCAATCAGGAGCCACCTGAAACAAAAGCCCCAACTCCCTCTGACCAGGGCAGCCCAGAGAGCTCGTTAGCAGCAGCCCCACCTAGCTAGAACTTCCCAGGAGAAGTTAAGTCAAGGTCCCCTGCAGGAGTCCTTGCCCAGCTCTCCCTTCCTGCTAGCAGCAAGCACCGTCTAGTTCCTCGGGGGTCCCCAGAAAGTCTCCACAACTTCCAACAAGGCCCACAAAAGGCCCAGGCAGAGCCCAGACACTGCTGCGCAAACTGCTGCGTCTGTTCGCTGCCTCTGTTGGCTGCGCTCTGGGAGCTGCGCTCTAGGCCTGGCTCTTATATAGGCCTCTGCCTAGCAGTGACTCACAAGGGTGCTTGACCCACCCAATCAGGAGCCACCTGAAACAAAAGCCCCAACTCCCTCTGACCAGGGCAGCCCAGAGAGCTCGTTAGCAGCAGCCCCACCTAGCTAGAACTTCCCAGGAGAAGTTAAGTCAAGGTCCCCTGCAGGAGTCCTTGCCCAGCTCTCCCTTCCTGCTAGCAGCAAGCACCGTCTAGTTCCTCGGGGGTCCCCAGAAAGTCTCCACAACTTCCAACAAGGCCCACAAAAGGCCCAGGCAGAGCCCAGACACTGCTGCGCAAACTGCTGCGTCTGTTCGCTGCCTCTGTTGGCTGCGCTCTGGGAGCTGCGCTCTAGGCCTGGCTCTTATATAGGCCTCTGCCTAGCAGTGACTCACAAGGGTGCTTGACCCACCCAATCAGGAGCCACCTGAAACAAAAGCCCCAACTCCCTCTGACCAGGGCAGCCCAGAGAGCTCGTTAGCAGCAGCCCCACCTAGCTAGAACTTCCCAGGAGAAGTTAAGTCAAGGTCCCCTGCAGGAGTCCTTGCCCAGCTCTCCCTTCCTGCTAGCAGCAAGCACCGTCTAGTTCCTCGGGGGTCC